GAGGAGGAGAGGCCTCTGAGGACAGACACCTCCAGGAGACCCCCGCACATCCACCACCGTTCGTCTTCCACTAGGACTGAACACAACCACCATCACCACCACCACCACCACAGCAGTCGAGCGCGGGGTCTCTCCCGACAGGAGACTTTGGACTCTGAGACCCCTGAGAGCAGAGAGAGCCGAGAAAGCCGAGAGAGCAAGGACTCTGCTTATAATGAGCCGCGCACTCAGCTCCTCCACCAGGAAGAGGAGGAGGAGGAGGAGGAGGAAGAGGAAGAGGAGGATGAGGATCTAGGGGAGGGGCACCCCCAGCAGCAACAGCGCTACGAGCCACTGCCCCACCGGGACCACAACCACCATCACCACCACCACCATCACCGTGGTGGCGCGGACGAGGCTGGCCACAGTACCGGACACCACCGCTCCAAGGAGCGCGAGCAGGACCATAACGAACGGAACAAGCAGCGCTCCCATCACCACCGGCCGACACGCGACCACCACCATCACTACTATGACCGGGACAGAGACAGGGACCGAGAGGGGGAGGTTGCTCCCAAAAAGAGGGGCGACACAGGGGAGTGGGCCAGAGACTCCTACATACATCAGTGACAGACCAAACTCCTCCTGAATCTCATTTTGGACTCTCCTCCTCTTAAAGAGCGTTCTGTTCTCCCATCGTGCTGCTACACCCTGGAACCACGGCATCCTATTTATGTACACCTCCTTTGTAAATGCTGTTGCATCTTTTTCAATGGCAAGATTTTGATTACATAGATACAAATATAAATATATGTATGTGTGTATCTATGCATAGACGTTGTTTATGTGTGGATATGCATGAATATTCTTAAATATGCATATTTTAAACCTGTGTTTGATAAAGCATGACAAAGAAGCAGATTTTTTTCTGTACTGAGCTGTGCTTTCTGTGATTAGCATTTTTATTATTATTATTATTATTATTATTTGCTTGCAACCACTTGAATAATTTGTTCCTTCAGACTACTGCTGGGGTTGACTGCATTACTAACCAAGTTGGTTTGATGCCGTACATGCAGGTCTATTTTCTAAACGTATAGTTGGCTATTAGGGAAATGTGCACAATCCCTTCCTCACTGAGAATGACACCAAGTTGCCAGTTTATAAATTCACCAAGCTGATCTTTCACCATAAAGGGTATGAACGTAACCAGGGTTAGCGTTGTTGCCTCACAGCGAGGAGGTCCCTGGTTCGAATCCCCGTCGCTGCTAATGCCAGGACATGACTCCTTGACATCGGTTTCATGTTTTCTTACTGATGTTTCCTTGAATTACTGTGAATATTAAACACACATGACAGAAGTTAGTTTTCGTAACCTAGCGACAAAGAGCGCTGGTGAGAAGCGCTCTGACATGGAGGTCGTTAGCAAAAAGCATCGTCTTTAGACACAGGTCCTTAATTACTCACAGCTAAGTCACAACAGCTAATATGACAGCATTCAACCAATACTTAGCTAACATCACTGATGGCTAATAGCGCTGTCGTTAGCATTCAATCAATTCTAAGTTTATATAATGGTTAAGCAGCAAGCTGCTTCCCGCTACAGTTGGCAGGCTTACGCTACTGTAAGCTAGGAATTTATGTCTTGTAACGTTATCAATCAGTATCAGTAACTTTAGCACCCCCGCTACCGCTACAATGTAGTGGAGTGCTAACTGCTAACGAAAAGCCATTAGCTGATTGAGGACATTGAAACATAAAGAACAGTTTTAGCTTTTAGCATTGTCTTCATAAATGTAGGATTAACATCACTGAATTCTTTTACTGAGACTGCTTCAGTTTGGTGAACCTTATAAACTGGCATCAAAGTCGAGACGAGAAGATCATTCCACTTGATATATAAGCTACAGCGAGCAGCAGGTTAGCTAACGGTAGTTTAAACGGGAAACGGCTTGTGTGACTCGACCGTCAAACAAATCCACTTACCAGCAAATCTTAAGCTCGCCAATTAGCCCAACACTTTCTAACTACGGTAAGTCGTTACATGAACTCTAAATAGACTTTTTGTTTGACAGAAATGTTGAAGTTTAGCTCTCTAAATCTAACCGCTTGCTTACGCTTAAATCACATGCTGTGGTATCAATTTTGTCAAAGCAACAAAGCTAGTAAGCGTTTTCTCCAAAGTTTCAGACCAACTGATCTAACTAAATTCATACTTTTTTTTAATTTTAATTTTTTAATTCTGTGTCCATGGTCGCCGTTTGGTTTCATCATATTTGAGCTTCCTTTGAGATGCACCTTAGTCTCTATAAGACACTTAACTTCCAAAATGACTCCCTCTCTTACAAGCAGAACTGTTGTCTTTTTAATGGCCCAGAAACATTTTATAACATTGATACTCACTTTATTCTGCACTTAGTGATCCACATGGGTTTCAAATGAAAGCTATTTGATACAACATTGAAACTTATTGTAGCTCTTTCCAAAAAAAAAAAAACTTCATCCAGGTTTTGTCTTTTATTGAGTCTGGCCACTTTTCTAATGATTGTTGTTAATTCACACTTTTCTTCCAACTTATACTTCAAAGAATGTTTACTTCAGGAGACCTCTGGTTCGTTCCTCAAAACCAACTTTAAAACATCCAAATGATCACCTGACCATAGCCGCGTTTCCACCACAGGGACTTTAGAGGGAGCTCTATACATTAACGCTCCAGGGTCGAACTTCAATTACTGGGAACTTAATTTGAACTCCCCAAATTGTTTTGCAAAGAACAGGAATGTGTGGGAACATTTCTGATTGAATCTGAACATGCAGCATTTGTTTTCAGCTACCATTAAAAAAAGAAAAAGAATCGGCTACCAAGAACGAGATTTTGCTTTAACATTGAAATGTGGATGCAGAGGAAAGAAAGTTGAAGAGATAGTTGGGATTTTTGTGAACATGTCATCATGGTTGTTGTATAGTTGCACATGTTTAAAAAGCACTATCCTATTTAGTTTATGGAGGTCTTGTGTCCACATAGCGTTTATATTCTGAATTTTCTTTTTTCAATTTTTTTCAAACAGGGTAGCACGTTTGCAGCAGCAGGCGGCGCTCTATCTGTTTTGTGTGGCCGCTCCGAGCGCTTCGAGTTGAAAATCTTTCGACTCTTCAGAAAGGCGCCGCGAACGTCATCGGTGCTCTTTTTAAAATAAACGATATTCCCCGTATTTCTGCCTCCTACGGATGCATCCTCTTTGCTTCGTGTCTGATCGGGTATAAAAACTATCCAAATAAAACAACCAGAGAGTATAAAGAAACGGAGCAGTGTCAGTCATGCAGTGGCTGTTTTCGACATACTGTTGTCATAGAGACAGGACGGATGTGCAGCGCTTTTATCTCAGCGGTGCTCCTGAGAGCACAGCCAGCACTTTACTGCCTGGAAAAAAAAAAACGCTAGGTGGACACAGTACCTTAGCCTTCCAAGACTGCAGTGAGAAAACGAAGTATGTTCTTGGACCTTGAAAAGAAGTTCCTGGGGCTAAAGGTTCTGGGTACTTTGGGTGGAAATGCGACTAAAGTTGGTTATGTGTTCTGTCCCGTGTCATTTCCTCATTCACTTGAGTAGGCTTCATTTCACACAAGGTCAAAGTGTTGGATCATGTAAGAGCATTCAACACCTGCTCAATGGGATCAATAATGTTGTATTTATGATATTTAAATCTGAACTGAGCCCCTCTGTTTACAAAAACCACAAACCCTGTCCTTTCCAATTCTTTGTTTGTTTGTTTTTTTGCCTGACAATTGTAATTGTAAGAACTTCTCAATTTCTATGCTACATTGGTAGCATAACAGATTTTTTATCAGTGTACATGTGTACGTGCATAATGCATAAATATGAAGAATAAAGTTGGCGGCAACAAAGCAATGGCGCAGGGAGGGGAGACAAAATGTGATGTTTGCTCTGTCAGAAGCCCCAGCCAAAGGAGGGAAGCGGCGTCTATAAATAGTCAACTCCACTGAAAAATTGAGGTAGACTCACCGGTCTGCCTCCTTAGTTGTCATGACAACACCGACATGAGTGACAATACTGAGGGGATGCATCTAAAATAGGAAGAAGCCTCTCCTCGCACACACGCCTCCAAAAATACTCAAACAAGCCACCCCCAGAGAGGCAGCTCATTTGATCCCAATTTTGATGTTAAAAGAGAACATCCTGCAGTGCACAGAGCAGCCATTTTAATCACTATCAAGGCTCCCCTTACGTAAAGTCAAATGACCAGATGCAGTCGGCTGGCTTTTCCAGGCAGATGTGTGGATAGACTGACAATGGTATAATGATATTCCCAGGAAGAGAGGATAAGCGGAGGTCACTGTGAAGGTCCTCAAAATGCTGCACACCACGAGAAAGCGGCCAGATGTTTGAGCACCGCCGTCACGAATACAAACTGATTTAAAATGTTTTAATCTCTGCATTTTTGTCAGACTTTAATTTTGCACAGAATAAATTAGTGACCAGTGTTGTAATGACCCCTGTTTTAGGATAATGTACATATACAAAGGAAAAAAGGAGGAATAAAATATTTTTAATTGACTTCTGTACAGAAATTGTGAATGCATTTTCCCTCTGGTGCAGGCGCTCAAACTACACACGGCATCTTTACTCCCTTACAAGAAGCTCCGGCACTAATTAGAGCTCCCAGTTGTCTCCACCACTACTAAAAGACACTAAATTGTTAATACCTCTCATGACCTCTTTCTGCATGCTACTTCCTGATCTCAGCGCTGAGATCCAGCCAATCCGCTGTCACCATGGCAGCTGTGTCGTCACTGTTGTTATGGCGACGCTAGCACTGCTGCATTTGCCAATACTCATTCAGTCTCTGTCCCCACGTGCCCCCCCCCCCCCATCTCTCTTTCCCCTCTCTCAAGCCCCGGGTGTTTATAAAGCTTATCCCTATATGGCCTGCAGTTTCAGAGAGCAGCTGTTAAGAGGCAGACGCTGTAAACAGTGAGTGTCTTTGTCAACACTGGCCCGTCAAAGCACACACAGCGGCGTAATATAAACACCATTGTTCCCGTCTGAGGTCCCGTGTGAGGCCTGGCGCTGCCGTAAGACAAAACGTGCCCGCCAGGTCAGTTTTTCAGGAACTTTGCAATAAAGAAGCCGATGGTGTCTCTGTCAGCTCTGCAGGGAAGGGGAGCTGCTGTTTCCGTCTGATCCCAGCTCAGCTCTGGACTGAACCTCTGGAGGAGGCGCAGCTGCTCAGGTGACAGGCGGGCTCCCAGCATGCCCTCTGCACCGAGGTGAGGCTCCTGAGAAAAAAAAGATAGTGGGATTTGGTGATGTTAACTGCAGGGCACTCCATATTTCTGAGTCCATCCACGTGGCCGAGGAGTTTTATTTTTGTACCTGCGGCTGCAGAGTGAGACAGGGAAAGGTCTGGAGGGCCCAGGCTACCTGCTCCTCGTTCTCAGCTAGAGTCACCGTGCAGGTGCTGTACACAAGAACCCCGCCTCTCTTCAACAACCGCACTGCCTGCAATCACAAAAAGGAAATACAGAAAGAACAAATATGGGCCTTGAGATATAGGACCGTGGATAAAGTCGGAAATCAGAGAGAGAGAGAGAGAGTGGGAAATGACATGTTGGAAAGGAGCCACAGGTCGGATTCGACCCTGGGCTGCCCACTTGGAGGACTGATACCGCCATGCGAGCTGCTTGGCTGCTCTGGCTCCAAAAACCAAGGAATCCTCGTTGGGTTTCATATTGAAAGGCCAATTTTTACTGCAGAAGTAATCATGTTTACAGCCTTTTACAAAAAAACTAAACGTTTTGGTCACTATATGTCATTTCTCTAAATGTGGCTGTTCGCCTGGAGGCTTAAGGACAGCCTCAGCTCTACCTCTTTGCCCGTTTCTGATCAAAAGTTAGGGGGAGATAGCCAATATGGCGACCACCCTATTTTATCTTTAAACCTCCTCTTCAGAAATTAATGGATGATGTCACTGAAACTACCTCCATGTTTTAAAAATGACTTCCCCCCCCCCCCCAAAAAAAACTACCAACAACATAGTGTTAAATCTGATTTGAAAAATATGAACATCTGTTTCAAAACTATCACCATCAAAGCATCAGAGGGTTAGAGGATACATGGAGAAAATATAAGAGAGAAAAACCACAATAAATATTCTGATGTGAAGCTGTAGGGCACAGCTGTGTAAGAGCTTTCCAATGCCGCCATCTACTGGTCACAATGAGTAGAATGAATTTCGATAAGGAGGTATGGAGCTTTTCTCTTTATGTGCTGAAACTTACAGCGTGGAATAACTTGCGCTGCAGAGGCTGGTAGGAGCAGATCTCCTTCAGGCTCCAGGTGCACGCCATGTTGGGCCTCTGTCCGAGTCCGCTACAGGGAGCATCCAGCAAAACCCGGTCAAAACTCTCAGGAGGGAATGGAGGTCCTTAATCCAAACATAGGATTTTTATACATGCAAAGTCCTGTAGTTAATCAGTGACAAATGTTTAAAAATCATGTGTTGTGGATTTACCTTCAGCGTCCTGAGCTGCGTCGCTGCTTACAGCTTTAGCGCTGTCAAAGCAATACGCTTTGATGGAACGCAAACGTAACGTTTTGGCGTTTTGATGAATTCTCTCAATCTTATTTCGGATCCTGTCCAAGGCGATGACCTCACCCTGTGTGACGTCGAAAGAGACAGAAGTACATTGCTTCAAAGAGCACAACATTTTTATATACATATATATAGAAAATAGAAAATTATCCATGAATGGGAACTTCACGGTTTCTCACTGGAACACTTTTAGACACCCCTCGGTTTGCCAGATATGAGAGCAGTTATCAGGTCAACAGGTGTTGCAGCGATGGAAGCGGGCAAGAGAACTGGTTCAGATAGAAGTGATTGTACCCGACCTAAAAAGCCTCTGCATGTTTCTAATAAGCTCCAGGAGCAGAAACGTGCTCAAACTAGGATCAATATTGGAGATGCTTTTGAAAAATGGAGAGAGGCTAGAATGCAGAAAAGTTTACAGACTGATGCAGAGCTGGATAAACACTGAAGCTTCAGAGTCCACCACATGGTGACCTGCGTGAGCATCGACCCTAGAGAGGAGGGGGCAGGGGGAGACAGCTCTCTACAATGTTTTGAACATGGACTGCAGTACCCATTTTAAACACTAGGTGTATTTCTCCTTTAGGTTCATGTGTTCAGTGATGAAGATCTTGTTGGACCAAATAGACAAAGACAGTGAGAAGATTGTGCTTCTGACTGCTTTCTAGCCTCCATGCTAACTCTATTCAGATTAGCTTACACCATCTGCTGCTGTTCATTCAGTCTGTACCTGATCTCCCATGAGAGCAGCGATGTGGCAGGTCTTCCCTCCAGGTGCAGCACACATATCCAAGATCCGTTCTCCGGGGCGAGGATTGAGCACGTGTCCCACAACTACAGAGGGAAGGTTCTGCACAACAACAAATCACTTCAGTTTTCAAAAACAACTAAAAATAAAAGTGCAAAATGTCAGAGTAAATTCCTCTGTTCTGCAGGACTTAGTGTATGCAACCCAATCCATGAATCTCATATAAAAAGATATGAAGAGTAAGCATGACTACATTCATATATATATATATATATACCTGTAGGAATACCAGGCCGGGTAGGACGTTGTCAAAGGAAGGACTCTGGTAAAGTGGTTCCACCATCTGAACACCTATTCCTCTGAAAAAAAAAAAAAAACAAACAAACAAACTGATGGAGACTGTTGAGTGGTGTAAACACAGCTGTTTCCCACACCGTCTCAAAATAAGTACCAGCTTAGTCCTAAATGTATGAAAACATAACGCACTTGGCAGGTTCGTCCGTGCAGAAGATGCTCGAGCGATCCTTTTGAGCGACTCCATTTCCCACAAACACTTTCTTTCCCTGAAAGCGGTGGCTCCTCGGGTGCACTTTCCCTCCACGTCAGAGTAGACGGACACCGCATCTCCAGCCTTCATGTCTGACAAACAAACAATCACACGTCAGGTACCTCCAGAGATTACGCCCGTGAGCTAGCCAACTGGCGATCTGTTTAAGCTGCAAGATCTCCGGCCAAACACAAACTATGTTGAGCTGTGATGAATCTTTGAAACTAATACAAACGTGAGTTGTCGGACTGAAATGAGCCTTACACTTTGGGCTGGCGAGGATCCCCGGCGCGAAAACATGCGCGCCTCTCAGCACAGCACTGCCACACTGAGCACCAACCACCAGCTCCGAGCTGAGCTTCTCCACAGGTCTGGGAATAAACGAGAGATGAATCAAACTCAGAGGACATCCTCAGGGCTAAAGCATGGTTTGGCAATAGTGGACGATTTTTGCAACCTTTTTAAGCTTTTCCTTTATTTTCTAGTTTGTCAGCATGTGCTTTAGGTTGTATTTATGTTAACTTGAACATTATCTCTCAAAGCACCAAAGAGAAAAGAGCCAGAGATAATAAAAAAAGTGTTAATACTGATTTGTTTTTCAGTTGTTTAGCTCTTTGGGGTAAAAACTCAGCAGGTACTTGTGAATGAAAACGTGAATGTCTGTGTTTGTTCTGACATCATCCCTTGAAGTCGCATACACGTTCGCCCAGTGGTTGAACTGATATAAGTGTGTACTCCAAGGTAGTGTTGTAGAACTCAAAATCGGTCTCGGTCTCAAGACTGGACTCGAGACCACTTTCTAGGTGTCGGTCTCGTCTCGGAATTGAAAACATTTTTTACTCTGTCTTGTCTCATTCTCCAGATTTTCTAAATCAAGTCTCTTTCTATAAGAAGAAATAACTTCAGTTCGTTAATTATGATTTTTATCCCCCGGATACTGTTACGGCCTAGGTGAGTGACACGCCCCCCGCACACAAGATGATGATTTGTTTCAGTGATATATATGGTCTTGGTCTCGGGGCCCTCTGGTCTCGGGTTTGTCTTGGTCCGGGTTAGTGTGGTTTTGACTATAACACTAAACTCAGAGAGCAGATTGAGATTCGACTGACACGGCTCCAGCATTCCTCACATACCTCGGGCCATCGACAGGAAGGAGCAGCACATCTGGAATACACGGATGAGGAAGAATCTGAACAGAGACCTCCTCTGCTGACGAGCTGCACATCTGCTGCTCCAACAACAACATCGCACTGAGGGATTAGGACCCGTCCCACCATAGACAGCACTATCAACAAAACCTCAAACACACGAGGAGAAAATTCACCTTTCTCAGCTCTTCTTCCAGCTTGTGTCTGATCTCATCCAGGGGAGCGACATGAGTGCTGACCCGAACGCACGTATATGAAGGAGGGTGAGACAGGCAGGTGAGCAGCCTTTGGAAACGACTCTCTGCCTCCTGATGGCCAACTGAAGACAAAACCTGAACGCAACAGAAACAAAAAGACGAAAGAAAAAGACGACCATGAGACATGCAGAGAGTATGAGACTGAAGCTCATGAGCTGTCACTTCATCGGGTGTATTTATGTGTTACGATTGCTCAAAAAGAACCTCATATAATTAACTCCAGTACCTCCTTGTTTAAGAAGACATTCTTGAGATAATCGGTCACTTCAGGCTTCAGAGAAATTCTCGGAAAAATTGACATTCTTCAGTCTGTGCAAAGAAAGATTAAAAGTCAAAAACAGAACATCAAGTAAATCCTGATTGATGAACAGACGTCAAATGGACCAGTTTCCACGTAGTCATGATTCATTAAAGGCTCGTCAGTAAATGTTATAGTTATGTCATTGTGTGATCGTCATTGTAAGAGTCTTGTGTTCATCGTCTTGTTGAGTTTTATGTGTTTGTCTGTACTTTCCTGCAGATTCATTTTTACTTAGAAATGTCACAACACTTTGCACTGATGCATCCCAGAAGAAAAGAAAACAGTAAATGCATTCACAGTCATAGTGCAAGGAAATACATACTGCAAACTGCATACTGATGCATTCAGTGTTGAAATAGTTTGTGGATCAAAAATAAAGAGAAAAAGCAGTTTGACACAAAAAATAAAGATGAACAACACCTGTGCAAGAAAGACAGAATAATGCTCATATGCAGGCTCGTGATGCAGGTGTGCATGCTGTTTTACAAAGCAAGATCAAATTAGTAGTTTATTTAAAATTGCTTATTGATATCCTAATGTTGTATACAGTTCATTATTCTGTCTGGTGTTAACGAGGTTTTGTTTGAATGGTCTCAGTGATTCCTGTTCAACACCGCTGTCTCTTACATTCATAACTAACCAGCTGTCACTGCTGAGTTTAAGCATTACAGTGATTTATAGCATTTTTTATTTATTTTGTGGGATACTCACGTTCAGTGCCTGTGCATGCCGGGGCTCCAACTTCCGCATACGTCACACGTTTCTCACGTGACAACTTCCTGAACGCAAGCCTGTTGACCATATATGGAAGAGCTCTCTTGGTAAACACAAGACAACTTTTTTTCTTTTTCCAACACTTTTAGCGACGTTACGTTTCTAAATAATTAGAGTCAGAGAATTTATTTGTAAAATGTATATATAATATTTAACATGTATATATAATATTTAACAGTTATAGTTGAAATTGTCTTAAATGTATATTCAGAAAAAATAAACTAAAAGTTAAAATAAAATAAAAGTTCGCAAATATTTCTCTAAATGTGATTAAAAAGCGACTTTTAAAAATTCACACCAATTTCTAGGGATGTTTTAGGGTTAAATGTTGCTGTTATTTGTAGTGTTCGCAACTTTACAATCGTACTGTCCAGTTTAAAGTTTTTTAAGTTCGTTAAAAAACAAAATGTTCCGTGTTTTCAACGAAAAAAAACTACATATTAAACATAAATTGCCAAATAAAAATTCCTTGTAAGTTATTTCCAAATTAAAATCTGTATAAGTACTTTAGACATGGTCAGAAGCACACAACATGTAAACGCTGTATAACTTATAACCACCTATCTATTTTTTAGTATCTATTTTTTTGTACATTCTTCATTTTTCTTTTATTTATTTAAATTGTACTGTGTTCACTTTTTGTCTGCAGTCTTTGCTCTTTGCTGCTGTAACAATGTAAATTTCCCCACTGTGGGATAAATAAAGGATTCTCTTATCTTACGTGTGATTGTTTACTCCGTGTTAGATTTACGCCTGTTGCCTTTTCACAAGCCTCCACCAACGTTCACATGACGTCACCACGCAACCGGAAGATAACTGGATAGCTGGGGTTGCTGTTTTCTTCAGTACACCACAACCAGCCGCAGCTAACGGGCAGAAACAAGAAGAAGCTGCACGACGAGCGGCAGCAACACATCGCTGCACTTCTTCTTCACCTTGTGTTTGTGCTGGTTTTTTTTCTTTCTGGAGGTGACATCGACGGAGCCCGACGTCTACGCTTGTTGTGAGATTTGTTTTTAATCACATTTAACCGGGGCGCATGGAGTCGGCGTTGAAAAGGTCGGTGAGGTGTTTCGCGGACGAGAGATCATCCAGCTAACGTTAGCTAGCCGCGGCCAGTCACGGATTGAACGGTGTGTGTGTGTGTGGACTTCGGGAGTGGAAGCTCGGAGGTGCTGCCCACTCTACCAACGACGGAGACGCGGACGGTCATTGTTTAGTAACATAAACAATGGGGCTCATTTTCGCCAAACTGTGGAGCTTCTTCTGTAACCAAGGTAACGACCTCCCGCGGATCATGTGAACAGTTAGCCCGTTAGCACAAAGTGAGCAGCCCGCACCAGCTGAACTCTTTGTTTGACTTTGCAAAAAACAACGATATTAAACTACACCCCCGTGTCTTTTACTCATCAACCACTCTAGTTAATCTGTTTATCAGTTAGTCAGCCAGCAGCATTACCTCAAGTCTCAGTAAGCCTGCAGGACACATAACATTACATAACTATCAGGCATGCAGCGATTGTTAAATACTTTGCCCATTGCAGATACAGATGTTTTTCTCCCGAAATGTGTACGTTTGTACTCATGTTTGAGCATGAAAACACTCAGTGTGTGTGTGTGTGTCTTCATGCATTGCAGATGTTGACGGTTTCTATATTAAACTGTTTTTCAGTGTAAACATTCATTCACTTTCAAGAGGTCACAAGTAAAGCACTCTGTTGAATTGTTTGCAACCCGAGTAGAATCTAAATACCAGCAGCAGTCTCCACAGTGTCCTGATAATCTCACCTGGAGCATCGCTTCTCGGAACAGAATCCCTCACACTGCCATTTGTGTCGTCTGTACTTCACAGTTTATCTTTCTTTTACTGCTTTTTAATCTCTTCGAAGACATGTAGCTACAAGTAATGAAGCCTTCACGCACCGAGTTTTAATGTACTCTCTTGAGCACTTTGTCTGTGGGAACAAAGGAATCTTTCTTGAAGCCTGTGTGAACTCACACTTTTCTGTAAATATCCAGTTTAGATCATCACTTAAAGCTAACACATTGCAATAAAGCACTTATCGCTATAGTGTAAGGTCTTATTTCTTATATAAAAGGTGATTTCCATTGCGTCGTATACCTCTCGTAAAACCCTCCTCCTCATTTGCGGTTTTAAATTCAAACTTGGTGATCTGTTAGTTTTAGCCAGCGTCCTCACAGGGCAGCTTCTCTTTCAGGAAGTAATAGACACCCAGTGTCCTCCAAAAAAAACCCCGGTATAGTGCATCGAGACTGTCAGATCTCCGAGCCCTTTCTGACCAGACTTCCTTCCTCCTTTGCAGCCAGAGGCCTCAGGAGGGGTGGAAAAGTCAAACCACTAGAGTGGGATGTTTTGGCACATCCGTGTCAACTCAGAGTCTGCATTTAGTCCTAACCGTCGCCTGGCTGTCAGGCGTCGAAGCCTTTAGTGTTGCAAACTGTGCTGACTCGTAGTTGTGAATGAAAAGGACGGGGATCAAATCTGAGCACCTGTAAAATGGGCGGCATCGAATGAAAGGAATGCTTCCTATAGGCTGAATCATACTTTATGACACTCGTGGCCACTCACTGTTTTAACAGCTAGTGTTTGAGTTTTAACGTGTCCCAAGACATACTGTACGTGGTGGTTGGCCGTCGGCTGTAGTCTTTGTGGTGTCATCACTTTTTGGCCACGACGTGAGGCGACGCCACGGCGTGAGGCGACGCCACAGGCGGCCTTTATCGTCACTAGTTCTTTGCCGTGTGCTTGGTGTGTCAGGGTCTTTACTGCACGTCTTGTGACTCACCGTTTATGTTCTGTAATCAATCAGTGTTTTGTTTTGTTTTTTCCAGAGCACAAGGTGATCATTGTTGGACTTGATAATGCAGGGAAAACCACAATCCTCTACCAGTTGTAAGTTTTATTGTCATATTTACAGTAAAGCCTTTTTTTAAGCTTCATGTTGTTTTAAAAAACTGACTTTGTGGTTCTGTGTTTTTTTCCCCCTTAAAGTCTAATGAATGAGGTGGTCCACACGTCACCCACCATTGGCAGCAATGTAGAAGAAATAGTGGTGAAGAACACCCACTTTCTGATGTGGGACATCGGAGGGCAGGAGTCCCTCAGGTCCTCCTGGAACACCTATTACTCCAACACAGAGGTGAGAAATACAAGCAACACTTTTTTGTCTTATCATCAGAGGGGAACAGAAGTCGTGTCCAGCAGCCAGCGGGTTCTCTTCTCGAGCAGCTGGTGTGTTTGTTCAGAGAGCACAGACGGCAGCAGGGGCGTCCCGAGCCAGAGGTCAGCCTTTTCACAAAGGGGCCCGTCTGAAAAGCAAAGCGGGGGTCAGCCTCTGCTGTGTTTGTGGGGAGGAGAGGGGGAGAGTCGAGGCAGATGTGAGGGGGAGGCTAAAGACAGTGCACTAAAGAAAAAAACATCTGCCAGACAATCTAGATATTTCACTCATGGACATAGTACATCTCGATTATTTGGATTCAACGCAACATATAGAATATAGTTGATATTCCTGTTTTTAGCTGTCTGAATTCATTCACATTTCTTTGTCAGATTGTTGGATATTTATAAAAAAATAAAATTAAAAAAAAGACAGCTCAGACTGAGGTGGTTATTTTGTTCTTCTCATGGAGATCCAATAATCAGTCGGTGAGCAGAAAAATGAATCTGCTGGTCGTACAAAAGCAGCTGCAAAAGGTTAAAGAGCAGACTCACTCTGAGCAGCACACACTGAGGTGCATTACCTGCTCTGTTCAAATATCAACTCAGTCAGATATTGTCCAGACTGCGTTCTGGGGAGTTGGCAGTCTAAAGTCTGTTTAATCTCTATTTCAGCGTACGCAGACATATTCTTTCTAACCCTGCAGCTCATCCCGGTAGTGTCTTGATACGTACAGGAGTGCTGTGCAGGTGTGGGGCAGCTTTAGTTTTTTCCTTAAACTGGATATCACATGACCAGCTTCTTTTGAGTCATCATTTTCTAAACACACAATTCATGCAACATTTAACAAAGGGCTTCAGATTGGAGTTACGTGAAGCCCTACAGTTGTCATAGTAACCATCTTGTAACCCCACAGTTACTATAGTAACTCCCCTCTCATTGAAGTATAGATTCTGTGTTCGGGGGTCACAGTCATGTTGGATAACGTGTGCTGCAGCATTTTTTTCTCCCCGGGTCGTTAGGCTCACACATCTCTCCAAAATTAACGTTCCTTTGGTCCTTTGTCATGCGGGGTCACTCTCCCTCGTTCACAGAGGAGTTATTAGCATAGAGGTCTCCAGCGCTCATTGTGAGGAGGACCTCCGCCCGGAAATGCCAGCCCCCCCCTGCTGGGCTGCGTTTCATTGCTGTAAATGCCTTTTGAAAAGCGGGTCACTCAGTGAGTGTGATTTTTGCCTCCTCTGCTACAGTTCATCATTCTGGTGGTGGACAGCACCGACAGAGAGCGGCTCGTCGTCTCTAAAGAGGAGCTCTACAGGATGCTGGCTCATGAGGTAAAACACAGATTTGTATAGAGGACGGACTCTGTTATTTTAACCCAAGTCTGCCCTCTGCACCATGTTTCATTGTTCGGGGCTCGTGCATCAAAAGGGGGGGACGGCAGCGAGGTTATGGCTTCATTGTTTCTGTGTGTTTCCCCTCTCAGGACCTGCGGAAAGCAGCTGTGTTGATATTCGCCAATAAGCAGGATATGAAGGACTGTATGTCTGCAGCCGAGATCTCCAAATACCTCACCCTGAGCTCCATCAAAGACCACCCCTGGCACATCCAGTCCTGCTGTGCACTTACAGGAGAGGGGTGAGTGACACCTGGAGATGATTTCTAAAACGGTTTACAGAGTGACATGCTCAGCTGGAGTTTGATCAATCAACAATTCAATCTTCATTTAATGATCTTGTGATCCCGAACAGTGTGTACATGTTTATAAATGACCTCTATAGGAGTCTGATTAAGAGATACAAACAAAGATAGCAAATCTGGAAAAGCTTTGATAGTTTGATAAATATCATCACCACATTAAGCTGTGAACAAACTGGACGTCTAAGCTGCATCTGTCTTCTTTGTCTGTAGCTGTAGCACACCACCAGATGGCGCTGTTTGCCCTGAGTAGCCTCAGATTTTTTTCCTGGTACAAACAGAAACACAGCCTCATTAACCTTCATCAGGACATCACTTGTGTGCTTTTAAGCTTTTCCTGTAGCCGTGGATGTGTCTGCCATGTTTTTCTACATCATCACAACAATATAATTCATTAAAACACACTTCAGCAGTGCATCTGAACTTCGTTCATTTTCTCATCCTTGTTCTTACAGTTTGTGCCAAGGCCTGGAGTGGATGACCTCGAGGGCCGGACTCAGATAGCCCCTCCCTCAGCCGTGAACGGCCTGACTACCTGCACCACCCACCGGGTGGCACTAAAGCATCTCCTTTACAGGTTCATGTTCTTTTTTTATTTTTTTAATGATGAATTTAAATGGACTTGGACCCCTGCAGACAACACAGGAAGGGGGCTCATTGTTCCTGTGGTGCTGCGATTTCCTCTCCAGAACGAGTGAACTGACCTGGTTGTGGAGTGAGAAGTTGTTTTTAAAGTAAAGGAGGAGGATACATGTCCAAGTGGACACCACTTATTTACACTATGTACATATCATGTTACACCATATCATATCACGAGATTGCCATAAACACCATGTTGGTGCCCAGCTTTGAGAAGTACTGTGCAGCTCTAATACCATTGTTGTTTCTCTGTAAATGTGTGTTCAGGTACAAACCCACAGGGCAAAGGGATTACAAGCAGTATTGTCAAAGCAGTTTGCGGGGAAAGGTAGCACTACATAGTGTTTTTTTTTTTTTGTTATATAAACAAAGTTCTCATGTTTGTTTTGGTTTGGTTTTTTTGGTAGCGCAGCCATCGATTTCTGTTACACATGATCTCAGTTTCATAAGCTACATTGTTGTTCTCACATTTGAAGGGTTTCACAAATGAACCTTGAGCCTGGACCAGTGTGTAATCGAGCCAAGCGGTGCAGAATGCAAGTGTTGGCATGGTAACCGACTAAACTCAAGACAAACCCACTGGAGCCCTAAGCGGACCTGCATTCATACATTTGATTTACCGTAAAATCGGGAATATAAGTCGCTCGATATATAAGACTCAGTCTGATTTTAGAGGGAGAAAAATTGTCTAAACTTTCTTCCTGCGTGATGAAGTCTGTTTCTTTGCAGCTCTGAAGCTCTTGAAATCAGTCAGGTTTTCCCTCTGTAGCGTCTCCACTCCTACTAGATACAGTACGGTAGTTGAGCTCTCAGCTCCCGGTGAAAGTTACAGACCCACAGCCCCGCGAGTCGTACTGCTCACGTCCGCTGGTCACTCGTTAACTTTCATGAAGGACTCTCTCAGTTTTATTTAAAAATCAATATACCACCAAAAGTGCGTCTTCAACCAGATTTTACGATACTCTGATTCCCCGGTTGTTTCCTTGAGATCTCAGCTCATAACATTCCGTCAGAGTTGTAGAGGCAAAAAAATCAAACGTATAAAATAAGGTTAACTTACCTCGTTGGTGTGGGCAGTGACAGCGTGGCATGCTGTAGTCTCGCCTTTCACAGAGACCGTCTTACTCTTATTGTTTATAGCAAGAAAAGAAGATTTGTTATCCCAACAAAATGACAATGAATCGGTTTTTAAGCAAAACTAAGATTTTTACCCCGAGATAACGCAAATAATTCCAGATCTCAGCGGAACGAAGTGAAAACTTACATATGACGGGAACATTAATGTATACATGCATGTCTGCTTCGGGCTTCCATACATCCAGCTCTTCTCTAATTCAAAGTATTAAACAGCTGAAAACAATTTCTGATACAGGTATAATGCTCAGTTTTAATAACAGTATTTTAAATTAAAACACTGCTTTTATTTAGTTTTATTGGCTTTTATGTAAAGCAGGGATCATGGCGAGTTAGCATCTGGATCGATTTTTGTATTCACGATGATCATTGATTCTCTCTGTGTGTGTGTGAGAGAGAGAGAGCTCATGTTTGGTGAATTCTTTTGTCCTGGACCATTTTACAAAAGGGATCTGAACAGGTGCCACACGTGTACAGGAAGGTGTGACTTGACGACCATCAGAACTCGATTTTTCCGTAGCATTAAGATGATCTGAACATTTCCGCCATCCCGCAGCTCGAATACTTGACCCTCCTCCGCCTTATTACCCGTGCTGTCCCGAGTGTCTGGACGATGGCGTTGACAGTGTGCCCCTTGTTTTGACCCGCTATAAGAATCCCTTGTTAACAGATCTATGCACGTGTCACTTTGAAACCATGTTTACCATTTTCAAGCTCGAATCAGTGGCCAAAAAAAAAAAAAGGAGGCAGTGCATGAGTTTCATCGGCTTAAAAATGGCGTCCCATCGTGGTCAGGGAGTGTGCCTCTGGGTCTCTTGAATAAGGTGGGGTAAAGTATTTTTACACTTACAGGGTTCTGCCCCGGACCCTGCAGCGTTAAGGTTTACAGCTTTTTCCTTGATCTGACAGAGCAAGGGAAGTAGAACATGTACTCTCTGTGGGGTGGTTATCAGTCAGGGTCATGGACTGTATTTCACTTGTTTTAAATAAAAGTTGGTTTTCAATTTTGAGCAGGAGTTTCATCTTTTTTTTTGTAATACAAATTTGCTCACAAGCAAAGTGTTTATTTCCTTCAGTGAGTTATATCTAGATATCGACAGAACTTTAAAGGGAATGTTGTATTTTACTAAAAACTGCATTAGAGCTGGGGAAGATCCGGTCTGACATCGGTTAGCAGGTCTGATATTGGCACAATTTATGTATCCGATATCGGACTGACGGGGCAGATCCACAGATCATCGGGCACCTTAAACATTCTCAGCTCGCACAGTTTCGCTTTCTAAGATGCTCGGACTGAACTGTTGTAAGTGTCCTCAAATCGTCTCCATGACGACGTTCAGGCGAGATGGAACAGCTTGTCTGATCAAAAGTACAATTCTTACACTTCAGTTTAAAACATTTAATTTGAAAAGCTTACAGTAGTTGCTGCTTCCTGCTTATGTGAAGCCAGCCCAAAGTTTTTTTTTGCACTGTCAATGTAAAATGCAGTGCCAGGTTTGACTTCTGATGTGTGTAGCCTTCGGTGCATCTCTAATAAGAAGCACACCGGGTCTGACTCAAACAACGGTTTATTCACAGCTGCGATATATCGGCCGGATCATCAAAGCACAGAACAGCCAAGAAAAGTCACAAAACTCTTAGAAACGTAAAAGAGGAGCTTCTCGCTTGTCTAAAAAAATCATGTCAAATGTAGCATTTCACTGTATTGGGGTTTTTTCTCTAAGTTGGACTATACATTCACTGTAATGATGCCTTTGCATGGGAATATTAAGCAAAGAAGAATCACTGGCAAGACTCGACATTTAGAAATGGACCAAGTTTGAATTAAGCAGTGGAAAAACAATTTAGACAAGGTATAAAAAAAAAAAAATCAAATCATGGAGCTGGACAACAGATGACACTGAACAGGATATCTGTTGAACGCTGATATGTTTTCTAAGCTGCAACCCCGGGTGCCAACGACAGTCTCCTCGGCAATGCCCTACAGTCTAAAGTACAGACGAGCTCCTCGCAGTAATAAGATTCAATAATAGAAGTCTCAGTTATAAATGCAGCGTTTTAAGATTTCAAACTCAGTGCTAAAAAACTCACAGTATGTCACACACAACACACAAAATTTAGCAAACGATGAGTGACAGATGAGTTCTCTGCTGTTCAGTGAGTCAGCCTTCCTCCAGCTTAGCGTCAAATCTTAAGTCTGTGTGAGTTTGCGTTTATGCTGGTGTTATCCGAACTCCTCCTGGTTGACATCACATGAAACTCTACTCGCTCGCAGTTTTTTTTTTTTTGGTGCCTGCTTGTCCACAATAAGACCTTCTTCTTCTCAAGTGTCCATGAAGGGGTCTCTTTGGAAATGTGGCAGATGCAGAGAAGCCCATGTGTGTTTGTATTCATCTGTGCTTGTCGGGCTTTTCAGTTTTGGGTTAAAAAAAGCAAACTGGAGAGTAAAAGGAGCTTAAATGTTACCGCTGGGTCTTAACAAAATGTCCACCGACTCGCGGTTCAGTTCACTGCCAGCAGAGGAGAGGCCTTCAAACATGCACAAGATTAATGATGAGCGAAATGGCTTTGGATGAGGCAGCAACATGTCACAAAAAAAAAAAGCCAAGAGGGTATATGAGGTGAAAAAAAAAAAAAGGGATGAAGAGACGGCCTCGATGTTCTTTGACTGAGGCGAGGGACTCACACGCACAGAGCTCTGGGGAACCTGAGAGAGGAAAAAAGAAACGATAAACATGACAGCGTCAGCAAAACATCTCCTGTGCACCTCTAATGACTTAAATGGTGTGAGTCATGATGAACTACTCAATGATCACCGGCCTCACCTATCCTCAGCGAAGCCGTCCATTTCCTCCTCGCTGTCCAGCTCCATGTCCAGCTCATTGTCGAGACAATCACGGCCGTAGCCACTTAAGACGCTGCAGGTGGGACAGAGTGAAACCGGATCAGGTGGATGCATTCATTGTCTTTTTCTGACTTTTCTAAACTGGTGCACAACTTCAGGTGAATGTTTCAGAGTAATACGTTCAGTCATCAAATGTTCCTATGTATCCCCTAGTCTAGAACTCTAGAAGGTGTAACTGGGCAAAACTAAACGGGGACTGTGCTGCAGCTGCTCACCTGACTGAGCGACATGTGAAGAATACAATCCTCTTGAGTTTTTTGTTGTAGAAGAAGTAGTTGAAGGACCAGAGGCTCCCCTCTTCACCAAAAGGGTCCGAGTCCAGATCAGGGTTGTAGCTGGAAGCAAATATCAAACCATGTCAGGATTATGTTTGGATAACGCAAGGTAAGGTGTTTTTTGTTTTGAGCTTATAAATCACGAGCACAGCTACCTGTAAATGTCACAGCCCTGCAGGTTGATCTCCTGGTCCATGGCGTTCCACAGCTCTGGCCCGAGCGAGTTGAACTCCTCTCCCACGGCTGAGAACAAGCTGCCGTTCACTGCGTTAGCCACCTGCAGAGAGAACAGTCACATTCAACAACACTGCGATTTTCATTTTCTAAGTCAAGACGAACACCTGCGTTGCCTTTGAGGTACAGGACAGCACGCTTACCCAGTTCGCGCTGGGCTCTCGGCTGAACTCGTGGGCCCGCGCCGCGCTGAAGTCATAGTCGGGTCTGAAAGACTCGTTGAGCGTGGTGATGAGGTAGAAAAGAGTCTTCCTGCAACACTTGTCGCTCAGAGGGTTCTCTGCATCCTCGATGCTCTTCCCCAGCCTGAACAGAATAACACAGAGGGGGAAATTAAAAGGCCATTCCTCAGTATAATTTCATATAAACAAAAGGAACCAAATCTTAAGATCTTTTCACATTTTCCTTAGACCTTAAACCAAAACCGGCTCTCTTCCACTGTGGACTGCAGTACTCACTGTGAAGGGCTGGTGGCGCTGGTGGACTGAGGGGGGGAGAGGGCCTCCAGGACGTGCGGCTCCCCCTCCTGGCAGAACTGCTTGAACATATGTTTGTCGTCCCCTGCCATCTTGCAGGAGTAGCTCTCAATCCTGCAGAAAAATCAAATTATTATGCATCATAAGCTTGAATATGAAGTCAATGAAACAGGTGTGCTGTTTGAGACCAGTGAAAATGTGTTACCTAATCTCTAAAGAGTGCTGTACTAGTCCATTAGGCTTCAATACACAATTACACAAACACACTGGGAGCACTTAAGAGAACTTTAAATACATAAGTCTATGAAGCAATGTCACACTTTCTTCCACCAATGACATAAATAAATACATGTTACAGCATGTAAGACACCAAGTAAACACAACTTTAAGTCTATCTTTCTTGGCTGTGTGCACTCAGCAGCTTTATTATATCCAGAAATTAAAGTAATAGCTCCTAAAAGTATCACAAACATCAAAAACACAGCTGGAAAATGTCTTAACCACACGACTCTGAACAACTCTGCCAAAACTTCCTGCATGCTCCTTCATGTCTCTGGGTCAGACGCCACAGTCACAGATACGAGAGCAGAGCAGACGGGTGTGTGGTTGTTTATTTTGCCCCTCCCTCCACCCGAGAGTTATGCAAGAGCAAAAAGGTTGTGCAACTCAAGATAGACTGGAGTGCTGCCGAGAACCTTACGCCGGCCCTGCCAGCCTAATTATAGGCACATTCTATGGCCGTGGTGGACCCTGCGATGGAAATATCTGCCCCGGTTTTCCATCCACAACACAGCTGATCTGCCGCCAAAACACTGACACTGGAGCCGGGGGAAGATTATAAACACTAAAAGATTATTTTTGAAAAGCTGCAACAGCAACCAGCTCCGTACACAACTCTTATCAAGGCCAGCTTGCATGTTTACGCATTTAGACCTGAATCAGCAATTTATGTACGCCACAGAGTAGACTTTCACACCATGAGAATGACCTTTACCCAGAACAGAATTATATCTTTGAGTTTAAAGCCCTTTGAGTAGCACTGTGTGACATTTTTCAAGTCAAAGATCAAACATATTGAAACATCTTTTTCATGGCTTTTCCTACATGTTAAATCGTCAGTTCATCTGTGGGAAACCGGCCCTGTGGGTACATTTCTACTCAAATAGCCAGCAGCTTGCAGGTCCTGCTGCTATGATGAGCTGCCTCACTAATCCTCTAAGCAGCCTAAACACCAGCAGCGTCGGCAGCTTCAGCAGCACTCAGCTCTCATGCAGCATTGCTGTTATGTGTTTATCTGTGCATGTACTTACAGTATGTGCCAATAACACTGTATCACTGTGTCTAAAATAGCCACAGAGCGGTGTGAGAGGACACCTCGCTGTGTGTCGCTTTAGGTCACAACCAGCACAGAAGCTCAGTTTCAACACCCACACTGAAAACCCCGTTCTCAAACTCGGCATAACTCAAACACAACCCACTGGGCCTTTTTTTATTTTATTTTTTTATGTAACGACTCCGTCACTGAGGCTGAAGGCCTTACGTAACTCCAAACACACTGGAAAAGTTAAAGACAATCTTAACTCATGCACAACCAGTTAGATATTAACTTGCAGTTTAGTGGTGGATTATCACAATGTTGCACAACATGCACGTCCTCATTTGCTCTACTGCTCCCACTTATGAACTGTGTCGGTGATCTCTGAACCAAACACACTCTGTCCTTCTTTGACTATATCATATCAGACAAGAGGGAAACGTACATGAGGGAAACTCCAGTCAAGCACTTACTGATCGGGTTTTATTGCCTTTATTAAAGGAATTTGACTTGGTGTATTGATGCGAAACAATTAACAAGGAAATAAAGCAGAACTAGCAACAACTTAAATAATACAGTATAAGATCCAAGAATGTTGCTTTCCAAATATAGTTATCGTGAACATAAGTAGTTCACTACTGAAGTAGAATCAATAAACACACCTGTGTGCACACCCTGGCTGATGTTGTGTTTTTATGTATCTATGCAAAAACAAAACAAAAACAAACACAAACAAAAAAGCCTGCAACTTGTTCCCTGGTGTTAAAGACACTCTTTGTTCCTTTTAAGTAATACCAAAATGTCCTAGACAAGTTGGCTATGAGCCGCCGCCCGAAGGTGAGAGGTTCAGAGTTTCCCTGTTGTAGACTGAGTGAGCCGGTTTTAAAAATGTATTTATATCTGCGTCTTTCAAACTTTGAAATAGTGGCAAATAAGAAAGGATAGGTACTAGTCTGGACTGTAAAACTAGTCTGATGTTATTTGTATTCTCATTTTTTCCCCGGACATAATTGAATAATCTTAATTGATTTTAGGTTTAATGTGAATGATGTTGAATGTTGTGTTTCCACGGCTGCAGCCCGGGTCAAGAGCCCAAGACAAACTTCTCTCACTTTGTGTGGAACAAATAAAAGTTCATCTTCTTGCACCTCAAGTGTTCCGGCTGAAACATAAGCACAGGTTAATTGTCGCCCCCTTACCTGCCAAGGATACGAGACTCTCCTGTTTCAACGCACAGCCGGGAGCTGATGGCTTCAAAACTGGAGTTTTCCAACAGTTTCATTTCTGTCTGTGACAAAAACAAGAAAACAAAGTTAATCAATCAATTGTTATTTTGTATAGCGTCAACTCATAACAAGTGTTATCTCGAGACACTTTACAAAAAGCAGGTAAAATACCTTACTCTTTGTCTTTTAACATTACAAAAGAACAGGTAAAAACACCTTACTTACTGTTATGTTACAGAAAGCAGGTAAAACACCTTACTTATTGTCATGTTACAGAAAGCAGGTAGAACACCTTACTTATTGTCATATTACAGAAAGCAGGTAGAACACCTTACTTATTGTCATATTACAGAAAGCAGGTAAAACACCTTACTTATTGTCATATTACAGAAAGCAGGTAAAACACCTTACTTATTGTTATGTTACAGAAAGCAGGTAAAACACCTTACTTATTGTCATGTTACAGAAAGCAGGTAGAACACCTTACTTATTGTTATGTTACAGAAAGCAGGTAAAACTTACTTACTGCTAATTAATGTAGCCATACATGTGAATTTACTTTATGCGTGTTATTTCTTTCGGTTCCCACATTTTTGTTTTGTATGTGTTGACACTGGGGTGTTTGACTTCCATTTATTAAAAGATAAATATTGTATAATAGCATTTATATTTTTATAAATTTAATGCGACATGTTTGTGAAAGCTCAATGTGGGGAAAAGGTAACTGACCCTGTGTGTCTGCTTTCCCCAGAAGGTAAATAAATTATTTAAAAAAGGTAAAACAAAATCACATCTGTGTACTGTTAATGTGTTGATATTATCTGATAAAAAACAGGTCAAATATAAAAAGGCTTCAAACAGGATTAGTAGAGCGGGGTCACAGTTATAGGTCATAACATCCGTGTAGCCCCTCCCCCACCCCGATGAATCCAAGTTGACAAATCGTCTTCCTGGTTCAGTACATCGACAGAAAATGACACAATTCACTCACCGAGCGATATTTTCACCACAGGCAGGAAGAAAAAGGGGTTTAAAAGGCCAAGTCGTCGACTTTACACTCGGTTTTTGTCACCTAACTGGTCACTCTGTGAAGCTAAAAGATTAACGACCCCCGCTTTGTTGTTGACCAGCTAACGGTGGGCTAACTAGCCTGATCGCTAGTTTGAATATTATAACCGCTCCTGTCGGGCTTTTAGTTCGCACTCGGACATAAGCATCTCCAGCAAGTACTCGGTCGAGAATGGGTTATACTGAGGCCTTTTAAATTTATAGAAAAACTGCTCTTCCCGATCAAATGCGATGAGATTAAATCCAAAGACTGTTGTCGTCCGTCGGAGTCTGTCTGCAGCGGCATCCCTTTCCACCTGATTTCTTACAAACAGCTTCGTGTAGAATAATCAAGTCGCTTTTTTCCACAAGCGACTCGATCAAGTAGCACCTAACGAGCTACCTAACAGTGAAATTTCCCGAAAACGGTTCACTTTTTCCTGTAAATAGTCGATTTCTTTCAGCGGGACATCTATTCTCATCAAAACAACGGAATCTACTGTGTGAAGAAGCCCAGCCCCCTTTTTTCGTTTATATACCCCCGAGAAGCCGCGCACGCCCACTCCCTCCAGAGCACCTCTCGTGATTGGCTCGTTGGAATGTCAGTCTTGTTGACAACCGATGTGATTGGTTAATACTCGCTCTGTCAATCCCCAGGCTGACGCTGTCAAATATCTCGACTGGTTCTCAAAACGAAACTGATGTTACAGGATAATTATTACCTTTTACCATCGCTGAAGGTCCAAACATCGGAACAGCGATATAAAAGCACTCTACAAAGACTTATAATGACGTATAAATCCAAATGTTTGTGGTCTGGAGTTGCATAAAACACGTTGTTAACATAGCCAGTTTCCCTTGTTGTGGATCTTTTTTACAAAGAACTTTGTCTTTGCACGTTGTGTTTACCAGCCTTGTGACTTGTCATGAAATAAGATCACGTCATAAAATCATCATCATAAAATTGACCTGAATTGCATTTCAATAAAGATATAGCATTGCCTTTATCAAAACATCATAATACTATTTCTAAATATGAGCCTCTGAAATTAGGGTCAGCTTTATTACTCTGAACCATCACCTGACTGCTCACTGTTGTAAAATTAAACGAGAAATGTTATTATGGAAATCAGCCCATGTGGCACAATCAGCATCTGGAGCTGAGGATTGATGGCTCAAGTCCCGCCGGGGTCATATGCCAAAATGTTGTACATGCCATAATTTATTAAGTTGCAATTTCAGGCACAGCAGCAACAAAAATGTCAAAAGAAAACATATAAAGATATTTGTCATAAAAACAGAATCCTGCGTGATATAAAGAATATGTAACAATCTGACATATAATTCATAAAGACATTTTATTGACAGAAATACACACAGCAATTTGAAATCATTGGTACAAAAGTGAGTGTCAGGTCTGTGCGATATAGTCAGAAACATCCCCCAGGCCTGTCCTATCATTGTCCAGGTACTCAAGGATCACGTTTCCCCCGTTGTACAGGGGAGCGTCTGGGTGAGCCAGCAGCAAGAGTAGGGTGTCATCCATCCGGAGAGCTTCACCCGTCTGAGGGTGACACAACCGCAGCTTCTGCAGGCGCAGACAAGAGAGACACTGTTAAGGCTAATTCAAGAATTATAATTTTGTGTTTACTGTTGCAGATTTATTTACATTCTGTGGAAACCTCATCACAACACAAATGATGAACAAGTTTATTAAAAAAAGGTCTAATCTGCTGATCCATATTTAAATACATATATTATGTTAAAATGTTGGATGTCCATACTATTTTTTTTTTTTTTTTGTTGTAAACATGTGACACACAGTTGTTAGTGTAATCCCCTGACGTGGTTTCCTGCTGCTCAGAACAAGACGTTCTGGGAACTTCGCAAGACTTGGCCAGAACCTGACGTCCACCCCGACAGCTTCTCTGAGTACACAGCCACCTGGAAGCTCACTCAAAATTCCTGTGACTGCAAACAGAGCTGGCAAATCAGAGGAGAGTGGGCACAAGAGGACGGGGGTGCCTTAAAGAGACAGCGGCTGAAATGAAGCGTTTCAGGCAGAGGCTGAAATGAGGGATTTTACTGACGCCAGGATCAGATAAATAAGGTGGTTTTTAAGCTACACATCTCACAATGCTCCTCAATAGGTGTCCCGGGCTGACATAATAATAAATCTCCTTTAAGGAATTTTGCATGGCTCTGAACCAAATTAAAAAATTAACAACGGTCAGCCCCGGACAACAGCCACATTTTAATCCTCATTCAGACTTTTTTTGTCCCAAATTGGAAAATTCTTCGTCACAGCACGGTACAAGTTGAACAGCAATCGACAAATAATGACAGCACAGAGAAAAACAACAGAACAAACAAAACACAAAATCAAAGGAATACAGTGCACAATAAACAAGAAACACTAGACAGGACGTAACGCAAAAGAGTACAGAGGGTGTTGTCGCAGCAGAGCATGCAAAGGGAGGTTACGACAAAGACAACAAAAGTTATCTCAAGCACCAACACAGCCAACTGAGAGGTGGTGGAAGAAACTCATGAAGTGGATTACCTTAGCCGTGAGGACGTTATTGTTGTTCTTTAGGTTAGCGAGTGAAGCTGCATAATCCACCACTTTGCCCACACTCCATTTGGAACAGAAGAACATGGGTTGGCTGGAGGCTGTGGATTCTTTAGGAAGATACACCTGGAAATAGGTTCTTTCTGTCTGTAAGGGATGAACAAATGAGAGGAAGAGGTTTCGCTGGACACAATGATAAACAGTGAATTTCATGTGTGACCTTCTTAAAGAAAATCAAGAATGCTGGGACTTTACCTGTGGCAGTCCCTTGTCTCCTGCAGCATGCAGCTTTAGTTTCATCAGTGCTACCTTAGCTGCAGTTGCGCTGTTCTTTGCTCCCTTGCGTCCTTTTTTTTTGGATCCATCCTTAGACTCTGAGTATTAACAAACGAGTAATGACAAAGAGGAAAGCACTGAACGAGCATGAACACTGATCCCGTGTGGACAAATAAGGAATAACAGAAGTACCAGGTAACCTTTAAGCTACACTGAAACTAACCCACAATCTTTTGCACCAGCTCCTTCGTGGCTGCCATTCGAGGCTTTTGGACCTCTAACTTCTCACACTTGTGATCATCTTGGTGACGATGGCTGTGAAGCAAGAGCATAATAACAAACCTTACAGTACACCTGTTTCATTATAAAAAGCTCTAACAAGAAGTAAATAATGACTCCTTCTTAACAGAGACTATACATGAGAGTTTAAATAAAGTTATGTTGCTGAATAAAAAGGTTAATGAAAGACATAAAACAATGGGGCACTGGTGGCCTAGTGGTTAGTTTGTGCACTCCATGTACAGAGGCTCCTTTTCTGCATGTCTTTCTCCAATCTCTCTCTGACTCATCCACTGTCCTGTGTATCTAATAAAAGGCAGAAATAGCCCACAAATAAATCTTAAAGGAAAGATAAAAAACTCTAAACTTACGCTAAACAGAAATGTTTTTCGCAGTGCGGACATATAACTGGCAACAATTCTTTCCCCTTGCAGTCTTGGAACGAGCAGGGATAACTTTTTGTGCCGCCCTCAGTCCTGGGTTCCCTTTTCGCTGGCTCCTAAAAAAAAGTCAGAGGAGACAATAAGTCAGCCAGAGCATGTAAGTAACGGGACAGACTGGTCATGTTATGAGAAAGGACATCAGGGAAATGTACCTGTGAACACGAATGAGCATCTCTGCTTCTGTGCTCGAGGCTGCGAAAGACAGAGAGAATGTCGTCTCCTTTATCAACAATGAAACATTTGTGAAATGTGTGACACACTAATACATTGAAACTCGACAGAGAGAGGCTCCTGTCAGACGGGGATTCAAACCAGGAACCTTCTCACTGTGAGGCAACAGTGCAAACCACTTCAGCACTGTGCAGCCTGGGCTAACTGTACACCTGCAAATATCTTCTTTTTAAAATGAGTGGAAGATTGTTTTTAATATTTATCATTGAATTTTAAAGAATTCTGAAAATAATATGTACTGTTGTCTTCTTTCTATGTTTAATGAGATTCTGTACAGTTCAGTAACTCTACTTTATTATTCAAAGTTACAGATCTGAACATAGCCACACTTTCCTTCAAAATAAAAGGAAATCCTACCAGTAAACGCCGCTGCAGAGATCACAAACAAATGGGAGGAAATCTAAAAGGAGAAACAAATTCAGAGTTAAGAGTAGAGCTGAACCGATCAACAATCAGAAAACACGAACTAATCTGTCTGTGTACAAACCAAATGTGTTCAAGTCTGACAATTAATAACGTTGCTTATAAGTCAATCTAAAGTTACTGCAGGTGTATACAATGATGCATTCACTCAGTCCTGACTGTTGTGTATTTGCTTTTTCTGTCAAAGCACTTTGTAAACATTTGTTTTTAAAGGTGCTATATAAATACAGTTATTATTACTATTATTATTAATATTATTAATGTTGATGTTGTTGTTACAATCAGAGAAGCTAAAAGGTAACTGCCTTTTGAAAAATGTCATTCTGTTTACATTGTAGCTGTAAATCTAGAAAACATTTGTTTTTCATAGGTGCTATATAAATACAGTTATTATCATTATTATTATTATTATTATTATTATTATTATTATTATTAATGTTGTTGTTGTTGTTACAATCAGAGAAGCTAAAAGGTAACTGACTTTTGAAAAATGTCATTCTGTTTACATTGTAGCTGTAAATCTAGAAAACATTTGTTTTTCATAGGTGCTATAGAAATAAATGTATTATTATTATTGTTGTTGTTGTTGTTTTAAGTAAAGTCTGATATATTTTGATAATGCTGGGCTTTGTTTTGTTATTGTGTGTGTGTAATATGGTCATGAGCCGTATAAAGAAATGAAAAAAAATACATTTTATTAAATACAGTGGGTGTAAAATGGTTTTGGACATAATCTAAAAAAAAAAAAAAGATCACTCTGCTTTTTGAAAACTCAGTGAGCACGCTTTAAAGTAGCTCACAGTGAAATAGTGCTAACGACAGCCACCTGCTAAAGAGTGCTCTGTACAAAGTTACGTCATTAAAACTGTCAAACTTTAATATCTCTGCTTGTCGCACATCAGATTGGAAATGAAACAGACCTGTCTGGTTGCAGGAGTCGATCTGACAATGTTTCCCAATCTCTAATTCAGCCATTTGGTTTTTGTCAGTGCGCTAACTCTTCTACAGAGCAAGCAGATGTCTGAACCCGGATGTGACGTCACACGACTGGGATTTTTGTTTTTCTTCCACCAAGCCGACTATCTTGGAAAGTGTGCACTCAGTGAACACAATCAGAGAGGAGTTTGGCTTCATCACAGTTTTGTAAAGACTTCACAGAATTAAAAGTAAACAACAAGAGTGTGTATACAGGTAAACGACGTGTTACACACTCTTGTACAGTAGGGGGCGGTATGCACTTGTAGCCTAATTTGTTGGCGATCCGGCAAAGAGCTGAAGAAGAACAAGTTTCTAGTTAGTTTTTTTTTTTCTAATGACGCATTAATGTAAAAAAAACAGACGAAATTTCGGATTTACCATTTTAAATTAAATATATAGATTATTTAACTTTATTTTGCACGCATTGAACAAACCTCATAAATCAAAAAAAGTTTAATATCTAACTTCCAGGAGAGTCAGGTGTCTTACGTCACGCAGGTGTGGCGAAAGGTGCGTTCACTGGCTGGTTTGAATTGAAAGCAGAAAGCAGTCGAACAGGAAATTCTGCTTGTCACACACCCGTCTTGTTGAATACCTGTGAGCTGGTCCCCACAGGTAGAAGAGCTCCTGCGTATACCTGTCTAAAGTCACCTGCGCGGTTTACACCAAAAGCTGCTAAAGATGAGCAAAATTTCAAAATTATTCAAGGGGAGCTCCGGCTCGAGTTCTTCCAGCTCGTCGAAGTCCAAACACCACCGCTCAAGGGGGGGAGGAGGACCTTCGCCCCAGGAGGCCATCCACAAACTCCGAGAGACGGAGGAAATGCTGACGAAGAAACAGGACTACCTGGAGAAGAGGATAGAGCAAGAAATCACGATCGCGAAGAAAAATGGAACCAAAAACAAGCGAGGTAATGATCGGCTTCATGTTCGTTGGGAAATACCTGTGCACCTGTTTCCCCCTTGGTGGCCTGTATTTTGAATCCTGTGCTCCATAACTTAAAGTTGAATTAATTCACAAGTTATTTGTCAAAGATCACACTATTTTTTTTTTTACCCTCTTTTAAAAGTCATGAAAGAAAGGGGTGCAACCAGTGGAAGTCCTCATAGGGCCCCTAAAATAACAGCCTCACATTCTTTCCTGTGAGATCATTAGGCCTGCCTGTGATTGTTTTTAAACTGGTGATGATGTTTTCAAGTGTAATTGCTTCATCAAGTATAACAGGTTTGTAACAACAAGTGAGCGGACACTCTTTAGATACAGTCTAATGGAGAGAAGCCTTTTTATTAAAGCTGAGAGTTTCTCTTCTCTCGTGAGACATTAGAAACTTTGCTCCTTGACTCACACAAGACTATAAATAAACAACGGCTCTTTAAAGGGAGGATCCACTTTGTGTCTTTTAGTTTGTTCACACCCAACACTAGTCGTAAAGGGGCCGCATCGCGACAGTTTCAGGAGATGTTTGAGAGTATCAGGGGGGGGGGGGTCACATGCTCCTTTTTAATGTGTTTTTTTTTCTGTGTCAGCTGCCCTGCAGGCCCTGAAGAGGAAGAAGCGTCTGGAGCAGCAGCTCACACAGATCGATGGCACGCTCTCCACCATTGAGTTTCAGAGGGAAGCGTTGGAGAACTCGCACACCAACACCGAGGTCCTGAAGAACATGGGCTATGCTGCCAAGGCCATGAAGAAGGTCCATGAAAACATGTAAGAGGACAGCTTTACCGTGCACTGGGAACACGTGAAGCATTCCTTACATTTACATGATCGTACTTGAAAATTCTCAGTATGTAGCGTTGTCGATACCTTTCCCCTCAGGGTCCTGGCAGGATATTTAAAGTTTGAAAGGCAAAAAAAAAATGTCTGTGATCATCTCTTATCACTTCTAATTGCAAACTTTAGACCTTATTGTTTTCTTTTTTAATGGGACATATTCAGTCGGGATGGTACAGATCTGATCTAAAATCATTATCAGGGTCTCTACTGACATAATTTGCATATTGGTTATCGGACTGACGCCGCCGATCCATGACATCGATTTACAAAGACTGTTGGGGGGGCATCGGTAGCCTCAAGGTTAGAGCTTGCACAGATAATACCGACACTATTAATTATGATAAAGAGTGCATCTTTCTCACTGAAAAATGCACTCACTGGAATCATCAAACATGCAGCTAAAATCACCAGCACCACCCAAATGCAGGTGTCAGAGCTTTCCATGCGTGCAGCAGAAAGAAATGCGGTCTCCTCTTCACCAATTACTTTCAAGGCAGCCGTAGCATTGGCTAAAAAGAAAACTTACAGAATCTATTTTATTTTGAGTGAATCTGTGCATCTGAATAGTAATTCAGAATTGTGTTGCTGTAATTCTCCTTTAAGTAGCATCTAAAAACTAAAACAAGACACAGTTAGGGAGTGTTTTTTTTTTGTGAAGAAACTTCAGTGTTCAGTTCTTTCTGGTGTTTAATCCAAACTTGTCTTCCCCTCTGGATTTTCTTTTCAGGGACCTTGACAAGATCGATGACCTGATGCAGGACATCACCGAGCAACAGGACGTGGCACAGGAGATCAGCAACGCCATCTCGGGACCTTTCGGGGAGACATTTGATGAGGTCCATACCTTCATGAACTCTCTCTCTCTCTCTCTGCCTTTTAGCTTTGTATTCTCTGTTCACTCTGACTGCTCTACTGAGGCTGAATATAAGCAACACTTAACCGTGTGTACTCTTTGTGTTTCAGGACGAGCTGCTGGCCGAGCTGGAGGAGCTGGAGCAGCAGGAACTTGAAGACAACTTGAAGAGTATGGGCGGGTTACCCAGCGTGCCGAGCATCAAACTACCCTCAGCGGGACCCAGTCATCGTGCGAGTAAGTTCAACACCACAAGGATTTGATATTTAAGAGGGGAGATAACTTCTTTAGCTAGAATCCAAATGTATGGAAGTTCCCAGACAGATGGAGCAGAGACTGTAACAATGAGAAAATGTATTGTTGCTGCACTATCACCCAGAAAAGCTCCAGTAGAACAGAAGCATTAATTAAGTGTTTCTTTCTGTTTTGTTTTTTTTACAGCAACCAAGAAGAGGGTTGAAGATGAAGACGACATGCGTATGCTGGCATCGTGGGCAACTTAGCGACAAAAAGGCAGCCTGTCTTTTTAAAGAGAGTCACACACAGAGATCTCTTTCTGTTACGTTTCAGCTTTTTATTGACTTTGAAGGTTTTCTAGGGAAAATGAAGAAATATATATATTTTAAAAATACCTTATTTTGCTCCTTGTAATGCAACTACTTTGGAAAGACTTTGAAGAAAAGGAATCAAGCATGTATTTTCAAAATTATCCCCACGTCTCTTGTGTTCTTTTTGAAGATTAATCATGTTTAATTAGCCTGTACAGAAAGCTTTCTACTTTCATAAACCTTTTTGAGACATAACAAGGATATGACTTTGATGTTTTTAATACACGGCCTACAAAGCATTACTGTATTTCATGCAGCTGTAAATAAAGTTATAATTTTCCATTAATGCTGTAAATATACTGCTTTCTCTATGTTCAACAATAAAAAGAGTCTCCTAAGGGTTAGGGTTAGTGTTGTTTTTGGTATGTCAAAGTCGTCTTTATTGTTATTTTTTGCTAAACGAACTGGACAGAAAGATCGTTTCTCTTTGACCCACCATGCAAACTGAAATAGTGTAAAAAGATGTACATTCAACAACAACAACGGTGTATACTGGGTTGTTCAGTTCCTGTGAAATTATCTAGTCAAGGCAAAATGGGCTTTCATTTTCTTTTGACTTGAAATCAAAAATTTTAAATACTTTATCAAAAGTAAAATCCACCAAAGTTCAATGAATTCATCAATTTAAATTGAATATATATACAGTGTATCTATATTTCTATTTTAGTCAACTTAAGTCAGTTTAGTTTAAACATTTTTAGTGATTCTCTTCGCTTCTGTGGAAACTTTCAACTTCCTTTTAAATAACAATTGAAAAAAAGGTATCATCTCTACAGGTTATTCGTTTTATCATAGAAACCAACCAACTTTAGTTCTTCAACCTTTAATAGCAGATCAGATAAAACAGCACATCTAAACATTTACAATGTGCTGGCTTGTTGCTAAAAACATTTCCACCCAAGAATGTGCAAAAAAAAACAGTTCTCTTTCTTTTGCTGCATTTACCATTTATCAGTCACTTTTCTCAGCAATAAACAAAATCAATAATTTACACATTTAATGAGGTGATCTTACTATGGTAAAATAAACACTTCAGAAAAGATCTGTGAGACAATTTCCAGGTATTTCTTGGCAGCTTTCAGAAAACTCCCTACCTAACTGTAGTGCCTACACAGATTTACGGAGAAGTCTTTTTCTCAGTCCATGGACCCTCGCAGGGGGGCAGAGGTCACCACCGATATTCATTAGGTTCTTCTCTATGACTCTGAATGTATACTGCACTTCCTCTTGGTAGTCAATGTTCATTGCACACAGCAGACCCTTGAGCATAGCTACCATATGAAAAAATAGTCCTTCACGCCATGCTGAATGATCTGATCCTCCAGGACGACCTCATCTTCTATCACCAGGAGGATGCTGACGTTTGTATCCTTTTGATTCCGTCCTCAGTGTCTGCAGATTTACAAAAGACAGAGAAAATAGATATAGCTGTGAAATGTTTGTAATACTGAGAAACAACATTTTTAGCCGGCAGAGCCAAGTTGGTGTGATGTATGATAATGATGAAACACTAGGGCACTCTAGAGGGTGTGCTGGGTCTGAAATTAATTATCCAAAAATAACAAAACAAAAACATAACACGAGTTTGTTTGATTTGTTGTGAAATGTGAGTGAACTGAGCACAGACACAAAATATGTTATCGCCCAGTAAGACCACAGGATTTCTTTCTTCCTGCAACAGTATGTAATTAAAACACTATGAAATCTCTAGAGCACACGAGAGCTCACGACATTTACACTACCGAGTTGAATTAACTCACGAGTAAATACTTTCACAAGTGACCACTCTTGTAATTACAAGAAGAGGATTAGGGCCACTGAAAAACAAAAGATTGGTTCAATTTTTTTTTGTAATTCTGATTTTATTCTCAGAATTCTGAAATTAAAGTCAGAATTCTGAATTTATTCTCAGAATTAGACATTAATCTCAGAATTAGACATTAATCTCAGAATTAGACATTAATCTCAGAATTCTGAGAAAAAAGTCAGAATTCTGACTTTAAAGATAAGATAAAGATAAACTTTATTGATCTTCCGTGGGGGAAATTTGTGCATTACAGCAGCTCAAGAAAACAGGGGACAGGAATATAATTATTAAAAATAAAAATAGAAGTTAAAAATCAAATCAACATATTTACATCAGTTAAATAAAAAAAATACAATAATGGAAAATTACACAGTAATGTGGAAAGTGGAAAGAGTTATTGTTATTAAAAACACACACACAGTGTGTAGCATGAGGTGGTGATGTTGTTAAACAGTCTGATTAAACAGTCTGATTAAACAGTCTGATTAAACAGTCTGATTAAACAGTCTGACAGCAGATGGGATGAACGACCTGCGGTAGCGCTCTGTCTTGCAGGGTGGGTGTCTCAGTCTGCTGCTGAAGGAGCTGCTCAGGGGCCCCACAGTGTCATGCAGGGGGTGAGAGGGGTTGTCCATGATGGATGTCAGCTGCATTAACATCCTCCTCTCACCCACCTCCTCTACAGAGTCCAGAGGACAGTCCAAGACAGAATCAAGGAATTAAAAAAAAAAAAAATCAGAACCACCTTTTTTTATTTTCAGTGGCCCTAATCCTCTTCCGTATGCAAGACACTGTGGAAAGAACAACACTGACTTGGAGGAAGTTGTGTCTGCAGAGGAAAATGCTTTGAAGAGTTCTACTTTCATCATTTTGCGCAGGCTGGTCTCGAACTCATTAATTTACGAGTTTAATCTCGTAAATGTACGACTGTTTCTCACAAAATTTACGAGTTTAATCTCTTAATAATAATTAAAAAAAATAAAACAATTTTAACGTGGCCCTAATCCTCCGTCGTAGGATGCATGTCTGTCTATATATTTTTACAGTCTATGGTCTGGCACCTAGACCAAAAAGTAAAGGCTTGATACAGCCTCCTTCTAGGGGAGGAGGCAGGTCACTTAGTGGGAGGTGCAACTGTTCTGCATCATCCGACATTGAAATCGAAAGTAAACTGAACGAGGAAACAAAAATCCTTCCTAACCTCGAGGGATATTGTTGAATAGGGATCGTTGCTCTTTCTTGCCTGTGCAAACTTCTGTTATTTGAAAAGTTAAACGTCTTTGTTTGTGCTTAACTTCCGAAGTTTCGTTTAGTCATGTCGAAGACGGCAAGCCTGAAAATCAGCAGCTCGGCTGCGGGTAAGGTAAGTTGAATCTGAGAACAAAGAACCATGCTCTGTTTTCACGGCTCACGTAAGCTACCTGTTCAAAGACTTGATATAACATGACATTACTGCAGAGAGTTTCTAAGAGTGTGAAGAACAATGTGTGTTTCAAATAGTCAGAGACATTACTCGTTAGAAGCAGAAAGTCCCCTTGTGGGAGGAGAACGAAAGTGAACGCAACAGACTTTTCTAACATGAGTCAGCATTTCAAATATTTACATCTTTTTTTTACCCTTTTCATCCCTTTTCACAAACATTTTACAGGTGGAAAAGTTCCGCCAGTCGTTGTATCAAGAGGTTTGTTGAGCAACAGTTATTCAACTCCTTCCTTTTAGTATCCACACTGGCACATTTACTGTAAAAACGTTTGAACTCAAGTTTTAAAGAACTTTTTGTGTTTTTTTCACATGTTTCAGGCAGAGAATCTGTTCTCCAGCTACATCCCCCAGAAGGTCACACTGATGGATGCTCTGCTAAGGGTCAGCAACTTCTCTATTGTAATACATAAGAACATTTTAGCCTAATATTCATAACAGGGATTTATAGCCTACTTTTAAAAATCCATAACAACGCTCTTCCCAACTGCAGTCATTACATGATCAGGGGTTGAAGGTAAACAGATACATTATAGGAAAGAAACTCTAAACTCAAGCCTTTTATATTCATGTGGTTTACCTGGTTGTCGTGATTTCTAACCTGTCATGTGGACCCTTCATTCTTCAGGATGATGCGTTCAGTATCACAGACATGACTTCTCTCCAGGCTCCCCTGGACATCCCCATACCGGACCCTCCCTCTCAGGACGACGAGGTGAGACCCCTCTTCACCCTCCTATCTCTCTTTGACCATCCCATTAGTCTTAGCAGTAATTTGATCTCAAGTGAAACAAGCTAATCAACCAGTAAACACAACTCATTCTGTAATCTCTTACACTTGTTACCCCCATTTTGAACGTATTCATCTTTGCTCGCAGGAAATGGAGACGGATACGAATGAAGACGATGACAAGAAAAAGAAGAAAGGTCAGCCCTGTTTAATGTATTTGTGTGCAGCTATTTTGAATGACGACAGGCAGCGCGTAGCATTGTGTACACAAAATAAATGCCGCTCTTTGTTGTACAGCTCCAAAATGTGGCTTCATTAAAGGGAATGAGAAGATTCTGTCACTTCTGGAGCGGGTGAAACCAGAGATTGTCGCTCTAAGAGAGACCATCATTGTTGTAAGTGAATCACTCACTGTAAGGACACATTCTCACGGTTTCTCAAATAAGACAGTCTCGTCTCAAATACAGTGGAAATAAAGTGGAATTATTGACTTGCACGACTAGATTAAGCGATTTCAACTGGCTTCTTCTCTTCTGTTTTAGGTCTCAAGCTGGATTAATCACCTCATTCCAAAGATAGAAGACGGAAATGACTTTGGGGTGGCCATCCAGGTACTTCGCACGTCTGTGCATCGAGGTACGATTCAGTCCAATTCTGTGATTCTCTGACAAATTGTGTCATTTTCACCACAGGAGAAAATCTTGGAGAGAATCACAGCTGTGAGGACTAAAGTTGACGGTTTTCAGACGAACATCAACAAGTAGGTTGGAGATTAATGTTGAAAAAAATGTAGCAATGTTTCCCTCCAAGTGCAACAAGATTGTCTCTAGTTTATCCTGTTTTTTACATAACAGTTTAAAGTGTTTTTTATGATTATAAGACTGTTGTGAAAGTTAGGAAACTTCAGAAAGCTTTGTTTTTTTTTCTCGTTTTGTTTTACTTCTTCTGAGAAAAGAAACATTTCTGATGCTCTTTCCAGGTACTTTACAGAGAGGGGAGATGCTGTGGCAAAAGCTTCCAAAGAGACTCATGTGGTGAGTGTCAACAAATCCTATGAAGACCAAAAACATCCCCACTCAGACGGTTGTTTCACACAGGATCTGTAGTCCACAAACTTCATGATGGAAGTCAGAAACTGAGATGTGCATTTTTCATGTTGTAGGACTTTGAGAAATTCAGAATAGCCTTATCATTAGAGCTTAAATTCATGTATTTGAAGTACCTTCAACAAATCTTTCTGATTCCAGATGGACTACCGCTCACTGGTCCATGAGAAGGACAAGGACATCTTCTGTGAGATCAGAGTGATCGTTATGGACATCCGTGGCTTCTACGTAAGTCACATATGTCTCCGATATATTAATACCGTGCTGTTGTCATCCTTAAATTCAAACCTCTTTTTCTACCTCTTCTCTTTAGGCCGAGCTTTACGACATCATCAGCAAGAATCTCGACAAGGTGACCAATCCCAAAGGAGAGGAGAAGCCCTCCATGTACTGAAGATCAGGAGGGGCAGATTCTACACTCACCTGTTTCTCTCTCCGAGTGGTTTCAGTACTAATCATCTGTGTTCAGTAATACTCATGTTCATCTGAAACAGTTTCTAATTTTCATTATTCTCCATAAACCCAAACAAACAAACAAATGGATGAACGTTTAGCTCTGCTGTGTTAAGATGGCACTTAAGTTTTTGCACTAAAATAAAAATAAACAAAGCTTGTTTTTCTCCAAATGGTTTGATTCTCATTTATTTGTAAAAAACAAAACAAAGTTTAATTGTGAAGTGCAATTCTCACTTATCTCAAACTTTTAATTGGTTAACAAGATAAAAAAAAAAAAAAACATCTTCAAAAAACAATTACATCAACTAAGGAGCGCAACAAAGGAGGTTTGTATACACAACATAAGAATGTTTCCTCTTTGAGCGATGACTCTCATACTTCAGGGCCTTCTCCTCCAGGTATGAGCTGCACAAAACAAAGTGAAAATGTGTTACATTATGGTCTCACAGTTACATTAAATACAATGCAATATTCATGGTACTGCTCAAACGTGCCAAAGCAATTAAACCACTTTTCTAGTACAAAATAAATCCTCTAGTGGTTGGCTTGAGGAGGATTGAGTAGAAGGAAACACTCGCGCTTCAACCCCTCCATAGATGGAGGACGGTGATCTCCGAGAAGGACCCAAGACTTCAAAAATAATTCAACAGACTCCTCAAAAATAATTCAACAGACTCCTCCATACAAAGAGAGTACTGGAGCACACAAGTCAAACTGACTGAGGAGGACAAAGCAGACTTTAGTCCTTTGCACCTTAATTATTTTGCCGTGCGGAATTTGTGCGCTCCAGTACTTTCTTTGGACTTTGCGTGTTTGAAGGAGTCCAGTGAATTATTGCTGCGGTCTCCATAAAGTGAGTTTAATGGCACCAGACTTGGAGAATATCCACATACCATGGTGATGTTATTGCCATTGAGGAGAATCTGGTCCAGTTTGGTTATCCTCCTGCCCTCTGGTGTGATTTCACTAAAGCACAAATATAAGAGAGAGTTTATTCCTCATACAGGTTCAACACTGGGTTCAAATGTTTCTGTACTTCATGCAAAACAAGAGGAGCACTTACAATTCTGTCACATCTTCCAGGACCATATCTGAAACACTGAGTTAAGGGTGAAAACTTGGGACACAATTCAGAGCAAACTATAAATTCAAGCAGTGAGTTAAACACAAGAAGATGGTTTGGTTGTAACTCTTAAAAGGATACTGACGAAGTCATCGAACCCCAACAAGGTGCCGACGATTTCTTTGTCGGTTTTCATGACGATGTGAATTCGGGAGCCGATACATTTATCCACAAGCTCTGAAAAGTGCAAAACATAGAGCAATTACATCAGGTTAGAGATGCACCGACAGAAAACAAGGGCTGATAATGATGTCTAAAAAACAATTTAGCTGTTCGCTTATACAAATAATGATGTTTCATTACTTCTTCTGAAGTTTGTCCAACAGGTGACTTCTTCTGCTCAATTAAAAAAAACCTCATGCCACATTTTTTACAGATGTGTTGATGTCTGTCAACAGGCTCGATAACGGATGATGCTGATGTTAAACTGATGCATCCCTATTTTAAATCAAAGTAAATTATTATCAAAAGCTTTTCTGACAATGTAAATATGAGGATTTTGTTGAATTTTTTTCTCATAAGACAGATGCATCAGTATCAAAAAGTTGGCAAGGTGACTGTATTTTTATTATTCTTATTTATTTATTTGTTAGGGACAGTGCATATTAATGAACAGCTGTAACAATTACATCTGTAAAAAAGCTAGATTATAGCAGAAGTGCTAGTTTCCATCTGTTGTCCCTATAGGCAGGTAACAGAGAAAGACAAATTACAAATAAAATACAAACACAAATACAAAGGCACAAGTGACACAAGGCAATAATAGAGGTTGTACAAGAACTGTTTTTTGAGTGTTTGGTATTAAAACAGATATTTGATTTGTAGTAAAGTATCAATTCAAATGTTAACATCTGATATCATGACAACCCTTAGACTTTATTTTTGGAATTTTGGACTGTTAGTTCAACAAGTCAAAACATTGTAGAATATGTCAAAATGACATTGAAATTGGCTTTTTATTTTTTTATACAGATTTTTATTTTTTTTCCATTTGTTTATTCGTTTTCATCTATTTTTAATCATTCGAAATAAAGAATAAATAAATAGAATAAAATAAAATAAATATTCTCCGACGTATTCATGAAAAAACCGAACGATTGACTTAACCGGAAAACCGATTAATCGATAATTCGTTCACTATTTTCTAGTTTTAAGTAATACTATAATAAACGGCAAAGAACATACACACATTTATCTGGCATTGGACAAATAGTCTTTAAATGTATTTTGCTGTAAAGTTTTTTTTACAACAACGAGCATGTGTATATGTGTGTGTGTGTGTGTGTGTGTGTGTATGTGTGTGTACACCTGAAAGCATGATGCAGACACAACATCACTTATATCTAACCTCCCGTCACAGACCCTAACTAACTCACTTTTAGTTTACACCGTTGTACAAGACGGTATTTAAAACAGAAACTCAAACATTATCGATAATTTACAAACCAAGTGGAAGCAACTGCGAGGGGTTTGTTGCTGGAGTAGCCGCCATCTTCATTCAATGGTTTCCCCTCCAGCCAGAAGCAATCGAAAGAACAACGTCCGTAGCCAGGCTAAAGCAATCGAACACATGTTTATCAATCGAGCAACTGTCTGCGGTTGCCAGGGATCAGTCCATCAGTCCGCCGCAGTTTTGACTTTTAACTAAAATATAATTCAGCAAACACACTCAAATCAAACAACTTCATAGAATGCACAATTGGAAAAACATAACAGCAATTGAAAAAACAACTACTCGAAGATAAACTGTAATTCAATCCATGTTTCACAAGGTGGCGCTTGTTTTTTGGTCTTGTGAGTACATTACGTCACTCTTTGATAAAGAGACCATTGTTTAGGTCAAGAGCATTCACCGCCACAGTCTTCCCTTTTATGTGAGCTTGTACCGTTTGTATACGTACTTTAGGAGGGCATTTTTGTCCTTTTCTGTTGTTGCACGAAGAGGAATATTGAAATTGGCTAATCGTATTAAATATAACATAGTCTTATAAATTAGTCTAACACATAGACTGTAAAAAAAAAAACTCTTTAAACAGTCTATGGTCTGACCGGGGTCTGACACCAGTGTACCTTGTGTAGAAGACTGTAAATATGATTTATCTATTCAGGTATCTATTTTACCTTATGTTATTTTATCTATTTTACCTTATGTTATTTTATCTATTTTACCTTATTTTATTTTATCTATTTTACCTTATTTTATCTTATTTTATTTTACCTTATGTTATTTTATCTATTTTACCTTGTGTTATTTTATCTATTTTACCTTATGTTATTTTATCTATTTTACTTTATTTTATTTTATCTATTTTACCTTATTTTATTTTATCTAATTTACCTTATGTTATTTTATCTATTTTACTTTATTTTATTTTATCTATTTTACCTTATTTTATTTTATCTTATTTTACCTTATGTTATTTTATCTATTTTACCTTGTGTTATTTTATCTATTTTACCTTATGTTATTTTATCTATTTTACTTTATTTTATTTTATCTATTTTACCTTATTTTATTTTATCTAATTTACCTTATGTTATTTTATCTATTTTACTTTATTTTATTTTATCTAATTTACCTTATGTTATTTTATCTATTTTACCTTATGTTATTTTATCTATTTTACTTTATTTTATTTTATCTATTTTACCTTATTTTATTTTATCTAATTTACCTTATGTTATTTTATCTATTTTACTTTATTTTATTTTATCTATTTTACCTTATTTTATTTTATCTTATTTTACCTTATGTTATTTTATCTATTTTACCTTGTGTTATTTTATCTATTTTACCTTATGTTATTTTATCTATTTTACTTTATTTTATTTATCTATTTTACCTTATTTATTTTATCTAATTTACCTTATGTTATTTTATCTATTTTACTTTATTTTATTTTATCTAATTTACCTTATGTTATTTTATCTATTTTACCTTATGTTATTTTATCTATTTTACTTTATTTTATTTTATCTATTTTACCTTATTTTATTTTATCTAATTTACCTTATGTTATTTTATCTATTTTACTTTATTTTATTTTATCTATTTTACCTTATGTTATTTTATCTATTTTACCATATTTTATTTTATTTATTTTACCTTATGTTATTTGATCTATTTTACCTTATTTTATTTTATCTATTTTACCTTATGTTATTTTATCTATTTTACTTTATTTTATTTGATCTATTTTACCTTATGTTATTTGATCTGTTTTACCTTATTTTATTTTATCTATTTTACCTTATGTTATTTTATCTATTTTACCTTATGTTATTTTATCTATTTTACCTTATGTTATTTGATCTATTTTACTTTATGTTATTTTATCTATTTTACCTTATGTTATTTGATCTATTTTACCTTATTTTGGTTGTATTGCACCGTGGGACGGAGACAAACGCAATTTCGATTCCACTGTATGTCTGGCATATTTTGAAGTTGACAATAAAGTTGACTTTGACTTTGAAAAAAAATAAGAAAAATGTTGTTTTTTTTGCAAGGGAAAATTGATTTTACCCCCAACCACGGCGCAACAGTCTAAAAACGGTCTAAATCAGAATATATAAATTTTTTGTAGAATTATTATTGGGGCACACAACTATATAAAGATGAATCACATATATCTACCTGACCACAAATACCAAATACACAAAATAAGTAAATAAGTAATTAAATAAATAAACATTACAAAGGACACGAAGAGGCAGGAGACAATGATGGTAACTTAATATGTCAAGTCACAAAAGTTAGTAAGACAATTAAATGGTAACACAATTTTAAGCTTTACGGTCATTTTAAATGAGTTCTGGTCCTGCAAGGCCAAATAATCTAAATTATAGAAAAGTCGCATGCGGAAGTGCGCAGCAGTGATAGCTCTCGCTTTGTGACGCAGTGAGACGAAGCGGAAGAGAAAAGCATCTCCGCGCTGTGGTTGTGTTGTTGCTCCTGCCTGGCTGTCTGTCCGCTGCGGACGGCATCGATTCAGGGGTTGAAGTCGCTCTGTTTGTTGTGTTTCTATCACATCCCGAGTTTAAAAAAACCCTCCTCACAGTGAGACGGGAATGGAGTCTCAGGGCAGAGACGAACTGAAGGGTCCGGTGCTGCATATAGTGGTGGTTGGATTTCACCATAAAAAGGGCTTCAGGTATGTGAACCTTGCTTGGTCCTAATGAGGCTAACTGAGTGCTAAACGCTCCCGTGATGACTCAGAAATAAGGCACAACTCCGCTCTATTGTTTATATATTGTCTGTTGTGTAGACGGATTTTAACCCAGAGCATATGGAGTTGATTTCCTCTCATGCAGTGCACACATGAACCCTGCAGGAGGAGAAATCGTTGTCCTGGTGCAGTGAGGAGAGGTTGTAGTTAGATCACTGTTGCTCGGGGCTCATACGGTTACAAACATGTGTTCTGCTGCTGACTTGGGCATCGTTCCCCTTCAGTTTCATCCACTGGCAGCGACACTGTGTGTTTTAAACAGGCTCCATCTTGCTCCTACAGTTCCTGGATTCAGTGTTTACCTTGCAAGACACTCTACCTGTTATAGACTACCTGTCAGTAGAGTTGGCTATTTACTACCTGGATGTCATAGAATGCGAGGATACTGCTGTTGCTAATTTTAATAATAACTTTAATAGTAATAACTTTATTTATACAGCTCCTTTTAAAAACACAGGTTTACAAAGTGCTTTGACAAACCAAACCAAACACAGAAGAACAAACAAATGCAAAATACTAAAAATAATTAAATACAATTCAACAGAAAAGAACCCATAGTGCACGATACCCAACAGACATATATAACCCGACCATCAAAAGAACCATCATAAGAACCCAGGCAACACAAGAACCATCATAAGAACCATCAGGACGCACAAGAACCATCATAAGAACCATCAGGCAACACAAGAGCCATGATAAGAACCCAGGCAACACAAGAACATCATAAGAACCATCAGGACGCACAAAACCATCATAAGAACCATCAGGCAACACAAGAACCATTAAAGAACCAGGAAACACAAGAACCATTAAAGAACCCAGAACACAAGAACCATCATAAGAACCAACACACAAGAACCATTAAAGAACCCAGGCAACACAAGAACCATTAAGAACCCAGGAAACACAAAACCATTAAAGAACCCAGGAAACACAAGAACCATGATAAGAACCCAGGCAACACAAGAACCATCATAAGAACCATCAGGACGCACAAGAACCATCATAAGAACCATCAGGCAACACAAGAACCATTAAAGAACCCAGGAAACACAAGAACCATTAAGAACCCAGGAAACACAAGAACCATCATAAGAACCAACAACACAAGAACCATTAAAGAACCCAGGCAACACAAAACCATTAAAGAACCCAGGAAACACAAGAACCATTAAAGAACCCAGGAAAACAAGACCATGATAAGAACCAGGCAACCACAAGAACCATCATAAGAACCCAGGAAACACAGAACATCATAAGAACCCAACAACACAAGAACCATTAAAGAACCGGCAACACAAGAACATTAAAGAACCCAGGAAACACAAGAACATTAAAGAACCCAGGCAACACAAGAACCATTAAAGAACCCAGGAAACACAAGAACCATTAAAGAACCAGGCACACAAGACCATTAAAGAACCCAGGCAACACAAGAACCATTAAGAACCCAGGAAATACAAGAACCATTAAGAACCAGGAAACACAAGAACCATGATAAGAACCCAGGCAACACAAGAACCATCATAAGAACCCAGGAACACAAGAACCATCATAAAGAACCCAGGCAAACAGAACCATCATAAGAACCCAACACAAAACTTAAAGAACCCAGGCAACACAAGAACCATGATAAGAACCAGGAAACACAAGAACCATTAAAGAACCAGGAAACACAAGAACATTAAAGAACCAGGAAACACAAGAACCATCATAAGAACCCAGGAAACAAGAACCATTAAAGAACCCAGGAAACACAAGAACCATGATAAGAACCAGGAAACACAAGAACCATCATAAGAACCAGGAAACACAAGAACCATGATAAGAACCAGGAAACACAAGAACCATCATAAGAACCAGGAAACACAAGAACCATTAAAGAACCCAACAACACGAGCTGAGAGGAACCAAAGATTTAAAAAGATGTAAGAAACTAAAAGAGCTAAAAGCAAATAAAAAGATAACAGCAATAAGAAGGTAATTTTAAGAAGTCTTTATTAATTGTTTTCAGCCAAACTAATGTTTTCAATGAATAGTATGGTTTAACTTCAATATTTACTCCCCATAGTGATATTACAATAAGCGCTGGATTTAAAAGTTGTTACAGCTCAGATACCTGTCAGGAAACAGTAATATCTAGGGCTGGACGGTATGCACCAAAAATTACATTTCGATATTTTTTAGCTGAATGAAGATGTACAATAAATCTCACTGTTTTCTTTTCTGTAAGGAAAATCAAAGACAAAATACATTCTTAGTAAAATCCACTTGTTATATGTCAGATGCTGTGAGTTTTGAAGAAGTCATGTTTGTGTTTATTATTTGTTCTCAGATTAGCCAAAAGGGAGATTGATGTGAATGAAACTTCCCGACAGCTTCAACCTAACCTTTTTTTTCTTCCTGATGTTTTAAACTTCAGCTTTTCAAAGCAAGAAAAGTCAATATTTACACACAGTAATGATTATTACCATATTATTACCATGAAGACTGTTACAAACTTAACGGGAAACTGTGTTCTCTAAATGAGCTAAACAGGAAACTGTGATATCTAAATGATCTACACTGTGGTTTTTATTTGCAGCCATTAATCATTGATTATTTAAGGGATTTAAAATGAACATTCATTATTCCACACCTTACGTTAAATCAATCATAAGAATTGAGTATCTGGGGGTTTTCTTTTGCATATTTTGCTGTTTTCTAAATGTTTTAGACTCAAAATGTAATTTATTAATCCATAGATTTATAAAAACAGTGTACAGATGGATTTATTTTGAGAACAGGCCGTAGTTGTGGCTCTGCTATGTGTGCCCCATTCGTCTCGGTGTGATCTGTGCAGACTTTTGTCTCTGTTTGCGACACAGATCTCAATCTGAGTAGATTTTATTCTCAGTGTTTCCCAACATTTTTGGCTCATGACATCCCGAAAAACAAACCGGATTTCTTGCAGTTGCGTGATGTAATTGGTCTACGAGTTGAAACAATGACTGATTCTTCCTTTTTGGCAAAGTTTTTTTTTAGAAGTTGGACCAGAAGTACAGAAAAAAACCACAAGATTATATCTATTTAAGAACAGGAGTGACTAATACCTACAGCACTTTCCATTGAAAGAAAAGAAAGTTCTTGTGTTTTGGTGTGTGGGTCACACTGTGGACACCTTGAGGTTATTTAGGTAAGAATGCAGAAGAGGACCAGCATGCACCTGGGTGGCCTATGTGTTACCAGCACAGGAGAGGCAGCAGAAGCCATGATTTTCTTACCTTTTGCCTGCGTGCACCACATCCTCAGGAGCAGCAGTGGCCTTTTAAACAACTTAATAGAAGATGTGAAGTTTTTCTAAAGCTTCTGTACTTTTTTTAATTCTATGGCCCACCAAATAAACCAGATTACATCATTGAAAACACATGGTATCAAACATTTTGTCAGTCTTATGAACTACAAAGTACTTAAGAAGGCAGATTTAAAAATGAAATAACAAAGAAAATGAACAGGCCACTAATATGTAATAAAGTGAGAATTGAAAAGTTGAAAAGTAAGAATGAAAATGAGGAACACATGAAATGCAAATTTCTGAAATTGCAAAAGGGAGTGTTCGGAGTTATACTGAAACAAGTAAAGGAGAACATTTAACATGATATAGGAGACAATTCCACTGGCTAGAAGAAATAGTTTGAAAAATGATCAATCCTGTGAAAAACGACCAGAGATCAGGAGAGGCGTCCAGTGCTACAGACGTTTAAAGTCACGATTTGGTATAAAAGCTCAAGTCTGCCATATCACGATGATATATGCAGGAATCTTTACAGTTAAAATAACAATCAGACGCTTCAGTTTTCTTTGTGTTTAACTGAATCAGAAACATGTTGCTGGTAGTGTCCCTGTAAACCTGTTTTTCTAAACCGTCCTGCCTGCTGCATGATAAAAGCCGTGTTTAACACCTGCTACTTAGTGAAAGTGTTGTGAGGCATTCTGTTGTACTGCCCCTAATGCATCATCTAATTATGACCCCCCCCCCCCCCCCCCCATCCTCCTCTTCGTCTTCAAACTTCATTAAATTTACAGGCCGAGCCGAGCCGAGCCGAGCTGAGCCGGCAGCTATAAAAACACAAACACTCCTCCTACTTGTTGTTGCTAGCTCTCCATCTGTCTCTGCTGCTGAAAGAATGAGGGGACTGTCTTTTCTCGGCCTGTTGTGCTCAAGTCAGCAGCTGTTCCATGAAGGGGACGAAGAAAAACAAGCATGTTTTGGTGTGAAAATAAGAGACAGAGCGGACTGAGCTCTCTGTTGCAGCTGATGGGTCAGTTGCCTCTGCTGCAGGAGGAGGTTATCTGATCGGGGTCAGAGATCTCCTGCTGGGTATCAGATTGGGTTCCTGGCTATTTAATTCATCTTTTCTTTCATCCACTCGACCCCCCTCCACACACACACACACACACACACACACACACTTTTATTCACCTGCCATCCATCTGTTTCTCTGGCAGGAAGCTTGTTAAGGAGAAAAGGGCGGGTTTGTATTTGGAGCATCATTTCTGCAGAGTCAGGAGGAGCACCTTGCCCCGAGGGAGTGATCCTGCACGAGTTTAGCCTGAAAGACTGAATCATTGTAGCCGGGGGTGTATTGTGTGTGTGTGTTTGTGAATATTAGTGTGTATTTGTGGTGTTCAGGTCCAGCAGGTTTCAGGTTAATCTTGTAACAGGCTGGGCTACAATGGCAGCTTCTTTTTGAGATCAGGGGAAACAGAACGAGGCCAAAGATGAGCTTAAAATAGAGCTCATCATCTCGAAAAGAAAAAGAGAAGCGTGAACAGACTTAAAGCTTCATACTCATGCAGGGCAGGTTGTGTAACTTCAGTCTGGGAGAGGAGATTTAAAGTTTCTGAAGCTTTCTGCATGTTCTGTTTGTCCCCTCGGAGGAATGAGATGGTGGGTGACGGTGTTTAAAAAAAAAAAAAAGAGAAAAGAAAAGTAAAGAAAACATGTACAAAAAAATATATATTTGTGTGCAAAAGTCTTCCATCAGTAGATTGATTGTTTAAGTAATGTTCATTTAATTCATCATGCCATTCATCCCCGAAAGCCCCTGATCGGGAACGTTTTCATTTTTCAGCATGACATCATCGGTACCTGCTCGATAAATCGCAAAATGAGCCCTGGCATCAAACTCATCGCAGAGGTCGGACTTTATCACATCAAATAAGAAAAGAAACAAGCACTGCTCTCCCACTCAGCTTGTGTACATTTAACACACTATCTCAACATTTAGTCAGATAAAACTCAATTCAGCTATCAGCTCCAGAGTAAATGTTGCAGATTTAGTGGGAAATAAAAAAGCTTGATTCATGAGAAGCATGTTGCAAACAACTTTAACTAAAGCTTTAGCTTAAGCTAAAATGAGAAGATAATAATAAAGGAAGCAGTGACAGAAGGAATACATGAATAAATAAATAAATAGTAGCAGAAAGATGGAATATAAAAATGATAAAAGATGTAAAAGGTCGGAAAGGAAAGAAGGAGCGAGCATGTCGAGGAATAACCCTTGTAAGATTGAGAGCAGGAACTAAAGGGTGAAAGTGCTCATGTCTCCTCTCTCCCGTCTCAGGTGGAGTTCTCGTACCCACCTTTGTTGCCCGATGAAGGTCACGACAGCAACCTCCTGCCCGAGGAGTGGAAGTACCTCCCTTTCCTGGCTCTGCCTGACGGAGCGCACAACTACCAGGAAGGTACGTCACACCTGAATAGTTTGAAGGATGTAGATGTTGTTTGTGTATATTCAGGCTATATTACAATGGAGGAATGTTTTAGACGTTTAAATCAGCTGGGTGATTCTAGAGCCTTCTGGGCCTTCATCAAACAAAACTCTGCTGTCAAACGTTTTGATTTGAGTGCAGCGTAACTGTGTTGATTATCTCCTCCCATCACATTTTTTTCTGAGTTGTGGAAAACGGAGTTAGAGGAACACATTACAGAAAGAACTGAAACGTGATTTGTTTTTCTAATAAATTGGTGATACTTAACGAGTAGTGTGCAGGACTTTTTTCTTTTCAGGTGAATAAATTAGGTTGGAAATGGCAAAAGTGAGAATTTGAAAAATGAGGAAGTAGACATTTCTTATTCAGAAGTCTTTGTGGATGTTTTCTTTTTAGCTTTAGACAATAAACGGTTGGTGCCCTGTTACACTGTGCTGTGTTTGTTCAGTACACGGCCGGTGTCATGTTTGATCAGAGAAACAGAATCCAGTCTGTAGGAAGAGAGAGCAGGACTCTGCTGGTGTCTGCAGTGACACTGAGCTTCCTGTCAGACCGTCCCGTGTTGTTGTGGCTGTAAGTCATTGACAGTGTGGTTCACCGCTGCTGTTCAGACCGACCTGGGAAAACAAACAGTCCGAAACTGAGCCAAAGTTCACTTCCAGACTGTTCTACTCAAACTACCGCTGCCACTCTGTGAATTTACAGTCACAGTTTGCTCCTGTTTGTCTGACTGAGGATTGGCCATGTTCAATTGCATGAATAAGCAAACACGTCCAAGAGCAGAATGTTAATAAATTGTCACTTGAATCTTCAACTTTAAAACTTCAGCTCCCTCTTGCAGACAGCTTTTATGCACATTTTGCATTTCCAGAGGTAGAAATATCTGTGAAGATTTGAACCCACCTCTGACGTCGTTTCTTTATCTTTAGTGTCCTTTGTCTCTGCTGCTCCAGTGTGTGTGGCCGACTTTTAGCTGATTAAAAAAAAAAAAAACAGGGTTGTGAGCGACTCCTCTGCACTGCGGATCATCAAAACAGCCACATTGATATGACTCTGTGTCTGTTACAGAGGAATACAGTAGAGTTAGCTCTGCTGTGGAGTAGAGCTAAAGATTAACAGAGTCATCATAGGAGTACACACAGCTTGGTTTTGACCGATTTTTGGAGACAAAAGACAACAGCAGTCAGATTTTCTTGACTTGATGTTGCTTTAGATTAGTTCAAACTTCCTACATATTTCATAATAAAGCATAGTGTGTGTTTTTTCCTGGACCCTGGAGCATAATGTTGTCTTTTTGGAACCAAACTTTTGTCACTTTAACTCGTTTTCATAATAATTCTAAACAGGTTAAAAAAGTGTTCACAGAGGAAAGAGGGACAAAAGTGTTGAGTGTACTTTGGGTGTTGTCCCAATGCAATGCTCTCAGGAAATGAAGACGCTTGCAGTTGCACAAGAACAGACGAGAGTAGAGATAAGCAAAGAAAAGTAGAACGTAAAAAACATTGAATTTATTATTATGTAATATTAAAATGAGACTGTTGATCTTAGAGGGGAAATTCAGGCGTTGCTGCAGCACAGGGGAAGGGAGGAATACAGACTAGAGATGCAACGATGCATCAGTTTAACATCAGTTTATCATCAGTTTATTATCAGTTTATCATCAGTTTATCATCAGTTTATTATCAGTTTATCATCAGTTTATCATCAGTTTATCATCAGTTTAACATCAGTTTATCATCAGTTTAACATCAGTTTATCATCAGTTTATCATCAGTTTATCATCAGTTTAACATCAGTTTATTATCAGTTTATCATCAGTTTAACATCAGTTTATCATCAGTTTATCATCAGATCAGTTTAACATCAGTTTACATCAGTTATCATCAGTTTATCTCAGTTATCACAGTTTATTATCAGTTTATCATCAGTTTAACATCAGTTTATCATCAGTTTATCATCAGTTTAACATCAGTTTATCATCAGTTTATCATCAGTTTATCATCAGTTTATCATCAGTTTAACATCAGTTTAACATCAGTTTATCATCAGTTTATCATCAGTTTAACATCAGTTTATCATCAGTTTAACATCAGTTTATCATCAGTTTATCATCAGTTTAACATCAGTTTATCATCAGTTTATCATCAGTTTATTATCAGTTTAACATCAGTTTAACATCAGTTTATCATCAGTTTAACATCAGTTTATCATCAGTTTATCATCAGTTTATCATCAGTTTAACATCAGTTTATCATCAGTTTAACATCAGTTTATCATCAGTTTATCATCAGTTTCAGTGGGTTATTACAAAGACAAGTAATTCAAAAGAAATTGGTATTGGTATTGGAAAATGCCTAAATAGCCATTTTCTGTATTCACTGATTATTCACAATCAATTCACACTCTGGTAAAGACAAATGATCAAAACAGAAGAAAATAAATATAAAATATTGTATAAGAAATTTGCATTATTCTATAACAATTATTTATAAGCATGTAAAAGTTCAGGATCATAGCCATAGATTGCACATCTTCTGACCTTCACAGGAAACGACATATAGGTGTAAGCACACGAAGCGTTCATATCATACCAGCTAAATCGTCACTGAAAAAAGTCCTGGAAAGTCCTGGTAAATGAACTCCAAAAAAGAATGGGAACCCTGATAGATTAAGACGACAAGAAAATACTCAAATAACTCAATGTAATACTTCAACGTTTGCAAAAATGTAGAAAATGCATTTGTATTTTTGGGCTAAGCATGCAGAAGATCTGGTTTGAGGATGAAACAAGTGAAAGAGTCATGTTATGAAATAAACAGGTTTGAGGAGTTTGTACATTTCATCCAGTTGAACCAGTTTAGCAGCTTTGAAGCCTCTCTGTGCTGGAGAATAATCACTTAGCTGTTCTGTCTTTAGGTTATTTCTCTCTCGTTTGTACCTTCTCTGTTATGTAATCATTCTGTCTCTGAACCTTTTTATTTCACACTGTCAGGTGCATGCAGTGATGCAGCGGCTGAAGATTAGCCTGCAGTGTTGATGCAGTGTACAACCTGCACAAGCTAACCGTTAAATTTGATGCATTTGATCTGAATGGCTGTTGGATAGTTACAATGTCCCTTCTGTGTCCCACTTGTGTGCTCCTCTGGCTGAGAGATGCAGACGTTGCATGAAAAAGAAAGTATGATTCTTTACATGTATGTGACTCATCTTGTTGTTTTTGCAGATACGGTGTATTTCCACCTTCCACCGCTCAGTGGAGACATGAAGTGTGTCTACGGAGTGTCCTGTTATCGACAAATAGAAGCAAAGGTTAGACGTTTTATTTGTCCCTTATTTGAGCTTAAGTTTGGATTAATCTGCTATTCTGACCCCATTCATTCTCATCCAAACCTGGGGGACAAGAACAGATCATCTTTATTCTGAAAGTCTAGATTTCTTTGTACTATCCAATGGAGAAAGAGACATTAAAGATGATGTGCTGACGTCACACCTCATGGTATTGAACTATGAGGCACATGCTCATAGTATTTAGAGTTCAACTTGTTTGGTTTGATTAGTAACTTCACTGTCGTATCAGCAGATTAGAATCACACGTCCCACATCTGAAGGGGATCATTTTCAGGTGCCCACATACCTTTCACTACAAGCACACTTCTTCTTCTCTTCCTCCTCATTTTTTCTCCTCCTCCTCCTCCTCCTCATGCTCCTTTTAATGATTTTTCTCCTCCTCTTCCCCCCTCCTTCTTTTTCCCCTCCTCTCCCTCCTCCTTTTTTCTTCTCCTCCTTCTTCTTTTTCTCCTCCTCATCCTCCTCATCCTCCTTCTTTTTCTCCTCCTCCTCCTCATCCTCCTTTTAATGATTTTCCCCCTCCTCTTCCCCCCTCCTTCTTTTTCCCCTCCTCCTCCTCCTCCTTCTTTTTCTCCTCCTCCTCCCTTTTCTCCTCCTCTTCCCCCTCCTTCTTTTTCTTCTCCTCCTCTTCCTCTTCCTCCTCCTAATTCTTTTTGTCCTCCTCCTCCTGCTTATTTTCTTCCTCCTCCTCCTGCTTATTTTTCTCCTCCTCTTCCTCCTCCTGCTTATTTTCTCCTCCTCTTCCTCCTCCTGCTTATTTTTCTCCTCCTCTTCCTCCTCCTGCTTATTTTTCTCCTCCTCCTCCTCCTGCTTATTTTCCTCCTCCTCCTCCTGCTTATTTTCCTCCTCCTCCTGCTTATTTTCTCCTCCTCCTCCTCCTGCTTATTTTCCTCCTCCTCCTCCTGCTTATTTTCCTCCTCCTCCTGCTTATTTTCCTCCTCCTCCTGCTTATTTTCCTCCTCCTCCTGCTTATTTGTCTCCTCCTGCTTATTTTTCTCCTCCGCCTCCTCCTCCTTATGTTCTTGATTGGATTAGAAGCAGAGGAAGTAGAAAGACATCGTCCCCTGGTCTAATTTAGTCCCTCATGACATCAGTGTCTTCTTCTCATGAGGTCTGTTTCAGGGCGATTGTTCACACGCTGACCTCGCTCTTTTTGCATTTTGGTCTTCAATTTATTTATATATTTTGTGATTTGAATTCACCCTCAGGCCCTGAAGGTCCGACAGGCTGACGTCACCCGAGAGACGGTTCAGAAGAGCGTGTGCGTCCTCAGTCGAGTGGTGAGTCAGTGAGTCAGACCATGAAGATGTTTTAATCTCATCAGAACAAAACAAATCTTGATTTCAGCGCTTCAGGCCGGTGGTTTAGAATTCAAGGGTCAGTCGCTGGACCGTGAAATATCAGCGTTACCGCTCCATGATCATGTGAGAGTGGAGGGAAACAGAAAATATGTCTATCTAACTTTCTGAGGGGAAAAGGCTTCAAATGAAGAACGTTCTGTAACTGCTCTTTATCTTTTCCTTTAATGTTTAAGAATAAATCCTGTGAGGCTTAAAGTGTTCGTGTCCTCTTCTCTGAAGTGATAAAAGATTCAACACGAGGAGTCATAGGAGGAGACTAATCTTTTATCTCTATGCACAGAGATTTTCATGAGTTGCTGGCGACATTTTAATGGTAGGAAGATTCACAAAGGGACGTCAGCCTCTGAAATAATGATTTATAAGACACAGAAGGAGACATAATAAACATAAGTTAAGTGTTAACAGTAAAAGTCATAACTGAGTGAAACTGGCCTTTAAAGGATTTAGAAAATGTCACATCTGTAAATGAGTCAGACACTCACATATGATCTGATGCTGACACTTTGTCTTTTCCAGCCTCTCTACGGTCTGCTTCAGGCTAAGCTGCAGCTCATCACACACGCCTACTTTGAGGAGAAAGACTTCTCACAGATCTCGATTTTAAAGGTTGGAGTGTGAAACCTGTCTGTTAATGTTTAACCTTGTTTTTATCACCTCCGCTCACCTCTTGCTTCCTCCTCCCGCAGGAACTGTACGAGCACATGAACGGCTCCCTGAGGGGCTCCGCCCTAGAAGGCTCACAGGTTTATCTCGGTGGGTTGAACTTAGTCTCAAACACTTTTCTGTATTCATTTCTGAAATAAAGAATAGTTAAGTGTTACAGCTGGTTTCCTCAGGAGTCATGTTGCACTAAGGAGGGTGCACTTCTTGTTAATTTCTGTTTTTTTTTTTTTAAATGCAGTCTTCTGCAATTTACCGCAAAGAAACTCTGTGACGAAAGACAAAGAGTTGAATATGAACGCATCCAAATATGTCTTCTCTTATTAATCTGATATGTTTCAGTAGACGTAAACATGTTAAAAAGCAACCCAGAAACTCTCATTTTGAACAGTTTCGTTGGTCCTCTGATGCAAAGTTCCTAATCACAGAACACTTTGTGGTTATTGGTCTTGACTGGTTTTCTCTACTGAGGATAAATTCTTCATTTGTTAATGCTCCGTTTGTTTTCTTTGCTCAGGGTTATCACCAAGAGATTTAATACTACACTTCAGACACAAGGTAAAAAAAAATCACAGATTGAAGGATAATGTTACGGTTTAGAGCTGTGTGCTTGTTAATGTAAAGTTTTAATTAAAAGTTATTGTCATTCTCGTTATTTTACCTTCACAGGTTCTCATCCTTTTCAAGCTCATTCTGCTGGAGAAGAAGGTAAAACTGGAAACAAGTCTTTTCTCCTTTCCAGAATCTCACAATTTACAGAAAACAGACTCTTGAGTGTTTGTTTTTCATTGAAATGTTTTTGTCTGCAGGTCCTGTTCTATGTGTCGCCGGTCAACAGACTAGTAGGAGCACTGATGACCGTTTTATCGCTGTTTCCAGGTCAGTATCGCCAAAATAAAAGACTCTTATCATAAACGTATTGTTAGGCAACACTTGGAAGAGTAAAGGACAGGGGGGAGGGGATAACATGATATTTGTTATTTGAAGTAAAGAATGTAATGTGAAAGCTTTTTTTTAAATTAAGACTAAAAACCGTGAGATAGAAGTTCTAAAGGTTCTGATATCTTCATCTGGTTCAGGTATGATCGAGCACGGCCTGGTGGACTCGTCTCACTACAGGCCAAAGAGCAGCGTGTCCGAGGACCTGAGTCTGGTGGAGAGCGTCTCAGGAGCCGAGGAGTTCGTCTCCGTGTCAGTCACTGACATCACGCTGGAGGGGGAGGAGCCAGTCCAGCCCACTGCAGAGTCTCTGTCCTCTGGGAACAGCACAGAGGGGACAACCACCTCCTCAAGCCCCCGTCACGCTCCTCCCCCGAGTCCTCAGAGAGCGACTGGGAGACCCTGGACCCGAGCGTGTTGGAGGAGAGCCCCCTGAAAGACGCAGCCGAGGGGAAGGAGGCGGGGTCTGAGCTCAGAGACGCCTTCGACTCGAAGCCGGGGACGCCCATCACTGTGCAGCCGCAGTCCGCCAGCGGTCAGGGAGCGGTCGTCCAGGGTCTGGTGTCCGGTCTAGAGGAGGACCAGTACGGCCTGCCACTCCCCATCTTCACTAAGGTAAAAATCCTAACCCAAAGCAAAAGTCTTTGGTGGTGCTAAAAAAATTAATTAAAACCATCGGATCATGTTTGAATACTAAGATTCGGGAACAAGTTTGAGTTTCTAAAGAAAGATGAAACCTGTTCCTTTAATGGTAGAATCTAATTTCAGCAATACACCTTCACTGTGAGGATTTTAAATTATGGGCTCTACATGACGTAAAAAGAATGCTATGTTGAGAATATTTGCCTTCATATCAATGCTATGTGTAGTTAGTTACAATATCAACAAAAGAGCATATAGTTTGCGTGCATGCTGTTATTACATCTTTTTTTACATCTAACAATAATCTGTGTTTCAATTTGAGTTCGGATGTTAGTTCAGCTTTGAAGCAGCTGTTTGCGTCTGTGTGTGTGTTTACCTCCAAAACCGTCACACAGATCAGAGCGGACAGTGTGTCTGAGACGGAGATAAAACCTTTCTGACAGTCATATGCACAGGTGACCTTTGTCTTTTGTTTCCAGGGTTACCTGTGTCTCCCCTACATGGCCCTGCAGCAGCATCACCTCCTGTCAGATGTGACGGTGCGCGGCTTCGTCGCCGGGGCGACAAACATCCTCTTCCGCCAGCAGAGGCACCTGAGTGATGCTGTCATTGATGTAAATCTAGAATTCATAAATGCAAAATGTGGATATTTATGCTTAAAATAATATTGAAGTCTAAATTTAAACCTCGCATGTGGTTTGTTTTCCAGGTTGAAGAAGGTAGCATCCAGATCCAGGACCCCGAGCTCAGAAAGATCCTGAGCCTGACGACAGCAGACCTGCGGTTTGCTGACTACCTGGTCAAACATGTGACGGAGAACAGAGATGACGTTTTCCTGGACGGGACGGGCTGGGAGGGCGGAGACGAGTGGATCAGAGCGCAGTTCACCCTCTACCTCCACTCTTTACTCTCCTCTGCAATTCAGGAAGGTGAGTTAGTCTCATTTTTGTTTTGGTGAGTCATTCATGTCTTCATTTACTGCAGAAGCAAACATTCAAACACAACCGCTGATATTTATACTGCTGCTTTGTTTTTCCATGTAACTTATGGTACGGCAGCTCTTTCCAATGTTTTGAATTTGGACTGCAGTACCCATTTGAATCACTAGGTGTCAGACTTACATACTGTATTGCTCCTTTAAATACATGTAAAGTAAAATGCTTTAAATGTAAAATAATGGCAATGTATGAGCAGTTAAATGTATTCAGATTAAATTATAAAAACACATTTTATAAATTATTATTTATTATTATTTATGAAATGCATGTATCATTTGATCATTCTTTACAATTATTTAAATGAAATAATACAAATAAATCCATTTATTTCAAATTAAAATCTAGAAATTAAATGTAAAATACACTAAAAGTAAAAGTTTTTGATAATAGAAAAAATTAAGATGACAAAATAAATGATAATAAACGCATCTGCATGAATACAGGAGTCAAGGTTGAATATTCATTTTCCGAACCACATTGTTAGCAGGAATGTTGTTTAACTCTTCACTCTTAACTTTTGATTGGTGATTGTTTACTATTTCTCCAGATAACGAGAGACTGCTGGCGGACTACGGAGCGCCTTTCGTCTCAGTCTGGAAGATCTCTCACAACTACAGAGTGTGGTACAGCAACAAGCACCCCGCCATGGCTGCCATCACACCGGGGTAGGTGAACAAGAGGGGTGCTGACCCCCAAGTGAAAAGTAATTGGGGCTTTTTTGGTAATTTTTTTGCCTTAACGGGATCATACAGCTGAAGAGAGACAGGAATCTTTGGGAAGAGAGAGTAGGGGGTGACATGCAGCAAAGGGTAGAGGTCGGATTTGAACCCATGGATGCTGCTACGAGGACTAAAGCCTCTTTACATCGGGTGTGCAACATAACCGTTAGGCTAGCCAGATGGCCTAGTGGTTATGTGGTGCCCCATGTACGGAGACTTTAGTCCTCCATGTGGGCGACCCGGATTGGACACAGACCCGGGACTCCTTCCACTGTCCTGTCAAATAAAGGCAAACGGCCAAAAACAAATCGTAATTGATTTCTTTTCCTCTCTGTTGCAGACATCCGTTCCAGGGTCAGTACAGTGTGGCCGACGTGAAGCTTCGACTCTCACAGTGAGTATCCTCTAGTTCCTCTGCTGTGTCTGCATCATCTCCAGCTGTAAAAACCACCATGTGGCTTTCATATCCACTGACTGTACTAATGAATGCACATGTCTGCAACTATAAGACACAAAAACTGAGAAACGGGAAGAGAGGACCAGAGTGTGCGGCAGAGCTAGGTTTCCTTTTCACTTTTTCCTCAGGTGATTTGCTCACTGTTTCATTCATGCTGCTGCCCTCTTGTGGTAAAAAAAGACGACTCTGACAGATTCAGGAGCTGAACCGAGTTTTCTTAATTTCTGTGCCATGTTCCTTTAAAAGAAACTGTCAGAAACAACTTTTATGTTGGAAGTAAGAATTGATGCAGGAGGCTCCGTATCACCTGATGAATTGCACGTTCATATCTGAATAGTAGACGTAAAGAAAGCCTTAACCTGTTAACCTTTCGACATGATCTTTGAACGCCTACAGTTGTAAAGGTAAAATGTTTTTCTCTGAAGCCTTCGTTGAAGTTTGCAAAGATGAACACACAAAATCAGCAAATAATTCAAGTTAAATTTATACAAAGATCACTTAAAATAGCGATACACAGCAGGAAGTGTTGACACCGCACTGCTGCTGTCTTGGTATAAAGACCTCACGATGATTTCATTTCCAAAAGTTGTCTTCCTCGTTGCACTTCAAGCTGTGAATACTTCACGACTAGTGTGCGGCCGGGTTTTACCTCCCGCTGTGCTTGCGGGCGGATATACGGCAGCTCTGTGCTCTCATGTTAAAGTTGGAGGATGTTTGAGGGGGCAGCGAGGTCTCATATTGGCTGAAGTCATTAATTATAAGCGACTTTCATTCTCAAAAACGGAGCTGGAGACTTCTTCGGCCTCAGATCTGCTTTCATTCAGGGAAGTGTGGATGAAAGGCGACTCCGTCCACAGCTGGAGTGCTGCGTTTACTGTTACACGTCTGATAAATGGCCACAACACACACACACACACACACACACACACACACACACATAAAAAACACACACACACACACACACACATAAAAAACACACACACACACACACACACACATAAAACACACACTTAGAGCAGAGTGTGTCCCCGTCCCTAACTTAGCTTTACAGTGAGGACGCAGCTGATGTGCTTGGCTGTGATACTCGGAGATCTCGCTTTACCTCCGGGTGTTTGGTGACACGGCCGCTGTGAACTTTTTCGCAAATCCTGCGTAAACAAACACACAGAGAAACAAACTGTGGAGGAACCGTCAGCTGGGGTCGGTGTACCTCTGATATCTGAACAAGAAAAAAACAAAACTTTTTAAACACGATATCTTTAGACATGTTTACAACAAACTATTTCTGCACTAATGCCTAAGATCTGGTTTGAAATTCAACCCAACAATTCTGTTTACAGTTTACAAAATGAACATGAACCAGCTGCAGATCAGTTACTTTGTAAATGTTGCAACAGTTTTATATTTCCTTCCAGCCCCCTCACTTAAGTTTCAGCCAGAAGTCAGGGTGATGTGATGTGAGAACGCAGCAGGAGATATTCAGAAAAATGCGCAGTGAGCCTCTGGTCCGGGATAATGAAGTTCACACCATGGGACCAGTACACGACCAGTGTGATCTAGTGAAACAGCTTTATACTCAAAAGTTCCCCTCGGGTCATTAAAGTCTAAAATTAGAATTTTTAATATGAGGTCATAAAAAGTCTTATTTTATATCGGGGGGGGGGAGGTCTTACATTTGAGATGGCACTTTGACATGTCTGAATACTTCATCAAATCTGCCCTTTCTAGCTAGTGATGTGTGAATTCGTAATATTTTTTTTGTTCAATTTACATCAGCTATGTCAGAATATAAAGCACCCATTCACAAACTACAAATTTAAACATGAAGGAGAATAAGAGGGAAAATGCAAATCCAAGAAAAGTTGGCAGAGGCAAATAATGATTATGAAGCAACTTGCAAGAATTATAAAAAAGCTTAGGAATTTAGGAATCAAAGCTGTTGAATCCCACATAAAAGCTCAGACACTATGCACAGTGACAATTATATATATTTTTTTTTTTTCTTTGGGTTTAAAAAAAATCTTAAATTGAATTTTAAAAGTGTGCAGCAACCCTGTGCCCTTTATGTTCTACTTTTCTTTATACTGTGAATACGATCTCTGACATGTCAATATGAAAACAGGATTTGTCAAGTTAATGAGAAAAATCAGATTAGATGTTGAAGAAAATGACGGACGTGGACTCATTATTGATGGAAAATGAAATTTGTGACATGTGACTGCTTGTCCGCTTCGGGCTCCCTTAGCAGTTTTTAAAACAAAACTCCGAAAATAATCTAGTTCAACTGAGTAGAAAAGGGAACTTCTTTGGACTAAGTACATTTGAATTCTAACGTGGGAATACTTATCAGATTGGTTCTTTGATCAGACTTGAAGATGTGTTTGACGAAGCTTGCAAACTTGCAGTGAATAAACCACAAACTCGCTGACACAAACAGTTTGTAATCCGGTTCTGACTCTTCAGATCTCAGATGATTGAGACTCCATATTTGTGCTTCATGAGACTCGTTCAGTTCACAGAGTTCATGGAGCAGCAGGGGGTTAGAGGGGCGGCTCTCCGCTCGCCTCTCTGTGCTATAAAACTCTGGATATAACCGGCATGCTGTGTCGTGTGTGTACGTGTGTGCAGTGTTTGTAAGTTGGTGGTGGTGGTGGTGGTGATGGGGGGGGGGGGTGGTGCAGGCAGGAAGTTTGGCTCTCTGCCATTGGAGCTTCTCAGGAATAAACGCGTCTCATTTCCTGCCTCAGCTTTGTGTCACAGGCTCTTAAACAGGAGGGGATTCAGACGCTCTGCTGAACTGTGTGTGTGTGTGTGTGTGTGTGTGTGTGTGTGTTTGTGTGGGTGGTTTTCCTACACGTGTTCGCTGAGCGGAGGCGTGAGGGCATAGTGGCAGATAAACAGCTCAGTCTTCATTTCAACCTTGAACATCAGAGAAGAGTGTTTACTGACCGTCAGAAGATTTGAGCCTCGCAGGAAGTCGAGATGTTCCCATGTTAGATGTTCACACGGACAAACAAGCAATTACTCTAATCAACAAAAAGTCATTACAATAATCTGACATGGAAGTTACTATTTACCTTGGGGGGGGGGGGGGCTGCCTTCCAGTTGCTTTTATATACCTGTTAACTTGGTATAAAAGCCTCTGGAAGAACCTATAAAAGGAGCCATGACAGTCAAAGTATTGAGTTTGTGGTACAGCTACTTTTAGGCTTCTTAATCTTGTAGGCTTCCTTTACTGTCACTTATTTTTTGGGAACAAACTAATGTCTATTAAAAAAAAAAATCGCGTGTTGTCCTGGAATATTATTCCAACACTCTCCTACAGGGTTGGACATTTTCACCGCCACACGTTAATAAAAGTATCTATTAGTTACATTAATCCACAACGCAGATTGAATCGAATTCTATAGATAATGTAATGGCTCCGCCTCCCCCCTCGTGTCAAAAGCCGATATTCATTTACAATTTAGTTGAGAGGATGGAGCGAAAAGATCCTTCACAAAAAGAAAAAACACCATGAGAGTAAATTGTGACGAAAACTATCAGGTAGACTCAGTTTGAGGTCAGCACATTAACAGTAGTTAGTTAACATTATTCATGGCGTGCTAGCTTGCACTGAATGTCTCTCTCTTGTTGGTCTTTCTTACTTGGGCTGTGTTCTGCTATGACTTTGTGCCTGACAAAAGTGAGAGTGAATTACAACTATTTCATACGTTTGATAAATGCCAACTGGCAATATTTATAATCTGCAGATCGGGAAAGATAACTACGCCACGTGAAAAAAAAAAAAAAGGTTGATTTGCACAATAAATAGGTTCCCGAAGCAGCGGGACATGTGGCTGCAGGAGCTGGGGATCGAACCCCCCAACGTTCTGGTTTAGAGACAACCCACTCTACCACTGAGCCCACAGTGACCCCATATGACAAAAACAAAAAAATATTCCTCGAGAAGGATTCACAGAGACCCTCCTACATGCATTTTTTTTTAATACTGTTCCATTTCTTGCTTCTTCTCCAGATTTTTCTTTATTCTGGAATATCTCTAACAGGTGACAGCTAGCGACATGTTATAGGTATAATGCACTTAAATATTTCAGCCATCTTTACAGTGCATTCATATGTTAAGAAAGCTGATAAAATGTCGCATTCATTTCCCCAGGACTAGAGTTTTTAAAAAGGATCATGTTTCACTTTTATTTCTGAGATAGAAAATTCAAATGATAAAAGGCTGATGTAAGGAAGTCCCCTGAAAAAAACAATTCTGAAAACATTTTTTCCCTTCCTCTAATCCTTGAGCATTTTAGCATATTTAGAATTATTAAACCTCATATTCCTTTTTCTATAACACTTTTCACAAACACAAAGTTCTTTACTGTAAGACATAAAAAGCACACACACGATAACAACTACTTAAAAATGTGAAATATAAGATCTGCTGAGAGACTACTTGAAGAAAGATGAAGAAACTTTTCGGACCCTGCGGCGTTGCCTTACTTTCTTTCGTCGGTCTGAGACCAAAGAAAACTCTGTTACCCTGTAAACACAGAGCTGTTTTCAGCGGCTCTGCTGCTGAACCACAGAGGGGAACCCGGGGTTAGTGGGACAGACGCTGACTGCTCTGCTGCTGAATGAGAAAGTAAAAAGAGGAAAGCTGAGTCCATCCTGCTCATCACTCTCCGTCCCTCCCCTCTATTTATACTCCTCTGGAAAAAAACTCTAAACTACGCATGACTTCCTTGTGAATGTGCTGTGTTGCATGTGTATTATGGAAGCACTGGGGGGGGGGGGACACAGCCGACCCCCTTTCATGTTGTCATCAGTGTAGGACAAAGAGCGGCCGGTGGCAGAGAGGGTCTCAGAAAACCGGATTCATGTGACGCGCTGCAGGCAGACGCTCGCTGTTAGAGGGTCTGTCTGTATTGTTAGCGTAGCACACGGAGCGGCGTAAGGAGCTGTTTATTTGGGTCACCCGGCGAGATGGAGAGTGTGTGGTGTCCGCCGGGCTCGTCTCTGAGTCGACAGTGTGCACGGCAGCTCAGGGGAAACACTGCTCTCTGTTACTATGAGAGGACAGGAAGCTTTTTCAGAGGCTGCACACAGTTGAGATATGGCCTTCTCCTGCAGGAAAACCTCAGTCCCAGGAGATTCGTTTCTGATATTCTGTAATTCATTTAGCAGAATTTTAGGCAGTATCTATCTTTAGGAACTAAAGTATTTCAGAGTCCCTGCGGTGCAGGATCAATAAAAAAAGGGGGAGGAGTTCCTAGAACTATAAGAGTTCCTGCAGCCCCCGAAAACGCCATACTTTAATTTCAGGTTATCATAGAATTCACTCCAATTTATGTTCATTTGTAACAGCAGTATATGACTTTCTCTGTGTGGGTCCTGGGAGGGCTCCGTGTTTTCGAGGTAGAATCCGGGGGCTGAAAGAAAAAAAATGTTGAGAACCAATACTCTAAGTCAGAGTAAAGTTATCACATACAATGAAAGGTTTTTAACAGCGTTGGATTTTGATCTGAGATTGAGATATTTCTCATGATTACTGTTGAAATACACTCCGACTGTGCGTGTGGTAAACAAAGGTAACCCCCTCCTTTGTGCAGCTGCAGTGTAGTCAAATTCTCAGTGACAGGGTTTATTTCCAGAGGGAATAATTGGCTCATTAGAGGGTGTGAATGCACAGAGTGTCAGCTGCAGACATATATCCACAACGTCTTTTTAATACCGCCGCTGTTCGCCCACACGGTGCAGGAGACAGATTCCTGCTGAATGTCAGGTCAGTGGGGATCCATGTGAAAGGTTGCGGGTTGGACTCGCACCAGGCTGTCGTTCGGATAAAGCCAGGCGGGGCCGCATTTAGCCCAAACACTTGTTGTGAAACGTAGCCGGCTTGTTTCCGCTCTCAGGTCAGCTCCGATCATCAGATACTCCACCTGTGGCCGCTGCTCAACCTTCTGCTGTTACATAAATCCCTCTAACAGGTCGGCGCAAAATTTAGCAGAGCTACCTTTTTGTGTAGTTTGTTTCCTAGAAAGGAGGAAGAATTTCTTCAGTGTCACACCAGAAACATAGAGGTGAGGGGAACACATGTACTAACCTTCTTGTTTGTTTTTGTTTTTCCTTTCCATCACTTTTTCTGCAGCTCCGTGCAGAACAGCGAGAGAGGCAAGAAGATCGGGAACGCCATGATGACAACTAGCCGCAGCGTGGTGCAGACGGGGAAAGTAGTTGGTGAGACGACTCGGAAAATTTGCAGAAGTTTAAGCAAATATGACACACTCAGTCTTTAGCAATCTGACAATCTTATAATTCAGGTTAGAGCCTGATACAGAAAAAAGCCAGTCGTGGATTTCTTCAGTTTACTCCAAATAGATCAACCCCCGAGTTCCTTTCTTCCTGTGGATTGATTTATCAACTTGTTTTCACAATGTTGTCACGTTATCTACAGATGCAGTACCACACAAACTTTCTACATTCCTTAATTGGAAAAAAAGATAAAAAATGCAGAGTGCGATCCGACCGATTGAGAGCTTGTTGAGTTTTTTCAGGACAGAGTTTAGTTCATCCATTCTCAGAAATCATGATTTACCTGCTTTTTAAGTGAAGTCTCACTGCCTTTGAATCTCCTCCCAGGTCAGTCAGTGGGCGGAGCTTTGACCAGTGCCAAGTCTGCCATGTCCTCCTGGTTCTCCACGCTGGCTCCGCCTGCAGCTGTGACTCCGCCGGCCTATCCAGAGACCGCCGTTGAGGCAAAACCCTGAAACCAAACCTCTCCACTCCACTTCTCTCTGACTTTGTCCTCGTCCTCTGATCCTCCGGCTGATGTGAGGCCTGAGGCTCAGCGGAGCGAGAGCTGCTCTTATGAAGGATGTGAGCAGAAAATGAGTCATCTTCAGAATCAAGGAGTCTAAAAATCAAACCTGGTAAGACACTCAGGACAGGAGGCGTTACGCTAACTGTACAGTCCCCATCCACTGTGAGGCAGAAACTGCCGACGATAAGGATCAAAACACGGAAATATTGGCAGGCTGCAGCGTGTGTGACTGTCTGTTTGATCTGGACGCTTTCTTGTTAGACACTACAAGATGCTGTCGTTGGGTTTGCGGTGTTCACTCTTTGCTGCATATTTCTAGAGTTTGTGGATAAAACTGTTTTACTGAGATATTACAAATTTTAATCAGTCTGTCACAGGATTTCACAAAGAAGCATGAGCTGATACCTCTGAAGATTTGAATGGTTTAATTTTAAATTTGTCTCATGTTCAGTGATACCTCTGTGCTTACATTGTGGTCGTCATGGTAACAGCATTACTTGCTCTGTGAGATGTAACTGCATGAAAGTACCTTCCTATATAAAAAAAAAAAAAGGGTCGTCAGTGTTAGCGCCTTAATCATGATGTGGTTGAGACCTGAACATTACAGAAATGCATTCTTTTTTTTATAACATTAATCACTTGCCTTTTTGTCCCTTTCGGCACACCATAGTTAGCGTCTTCCTGCTCTCACAGTGATGGAAAATAACGACCCAACTGTGCCTTTGAATGGCCCATTTTACTATAAGAGCTCCTGGACCTGAATGGTTGACAAGTCCAAAGTAATATCCACCTTTTGACATCAAACACTTTTTTACTGTTCCTTTTAGCAGATTTCATGACTTTTTGATCTGTCAAGACTTATTTTTTGTTTTTAAATTAATGTCGTACTTAATCTGCCCAAGAGTCTTTATTTACCCTTAGCTTAAGACAGTTCATGTACAAAAATATGATAAATAAAAGCATGAACTTTAAAAGAAATGAAAAATAATGGAATTCCTAACATGGGATTAAGAATGTGATTAATTGTGATTAACTATTAAAATTCAGCGATTAATCAGGTTTTTTAAAAATGTACCGTTTGACCGTCCTAGAAAAAATACATAAAACAATCCAAGCAACTTAAATGAGTCTGTAGGAAGCTTTTATAGATAATGTTGTTTCATTTGATGATAATTTACTGTTATTTGCTTCATTTTGACAGTCACTGAGCTAAAGCTGACAAAACAATCTTATTTTGTTAGATCATTTAAATATCGTTTATACAGTATATATACAGGTTTACTGTATATTGGCGCCCCCTGTGGACAAACAGAACATTTCACATTTGAATGCCGTACAGGTAAATGCTGAGATCAACATCATAATCCCTCCACCTGAATGCTGTTACTGTTACAACCACAATGTTCATACTTGAATCCTTGTGTACCTGATTGTGTGCATTGATAAACGTGATGACCCTCCCCTTAATCTGTGAAGGAAACCTGCACCCTGCTGTGTGTTATCAGGGTGCCATTATCTCTCACCCAGGCCTTTTTGTACTGTCAGAAACATATAACATATTGGGAGACCTATATTTAGTAAATCTGAAGCTAGTTTAAAGTCAGATCTCTTTATTTATTTGTCGTGTACTCTCATTGATATCCATGTATCGTCATGACAACACTGGAACAAGTCCTGATCTGTGGACCACTGTGTGTTTTTGCACAAAGCAGCTCTTCTATTCTATTTCTGTGGATCTCTATCTTGTATACGTGTCAGTTTTGAGGTGTTTACAGGATGTTTTTCCCTCCATGATACAAACATTCAACAAGAGTTGAATGAAAGTGGTCCAGTGAGCATGCTCTGTCCAGTCCAGATTTACAGCTGTAACGAGTGTCATCTTTCTCTTTCAAACTTTTCACGTTTTCTTTTTGTTGTCATGATTTTATCTTTCTTTCGCCATCGACTAATTTCTGGAAATTTCTGTTGATTTCTGGATTAAGTTTGATTACGATATCAGCTGTTAAAAGCTGTTATGTTTTAGTTTTTTTTTATCCTCTGATGATGCTTTTTTCATTTTCTATTTAAAAGATTTGAATGTATGGTGAATTGAAAATTCACACAATATTTTCTTGACAGATGCTTTTAACGTATTTGAGAAGAAAGTGATACTATATTATATTGCTGTATTAAAAAGGAATTAAAAACACACCGCAGACTCCTTCTTTGTGTGGTTATAATAGAGGAACTTTTCTTTTATCCTCTCCGGGTTACTGTTGGGTACAAATGTAGGTCAGCCAAACAAAGTTGTTGATGAGCTTGTTGTTGTGGTGTGAGCGCGAGGCCCAGACAAAAACGCACCCGTGTGCTGTTCGACAACAATTCGGCGGCATCACAGCGACACATGAACTCAGTGACCTCATCCTGCAGGAATTCACTCCCAACCGCCACCGACCCTGGATGGAGAGAGAGCAAAGATCCCTTTCATCACAAATTCATGCACTGATTTAAATTTCTTTTGATTTACCGTTTAGCTGATCCTAACATTTCCTTCATTGACTTTTTATGAGTGGTCAGGACCCCATCTTGTTCAACGCATACTGATGCGGAAGAGAAAAAACAGTACTTTAAGATAGGAAATACTCTGGGAATTATAAAGCTGACATGTTGTCAGTAGTCTGGGCTGTTTCCTCAGAGTGGTTAAATGTAGACTTTGCTTACAGCTGTTGGGTCATACCACTGTAAACAACTGAGACAATAATCTGAGGAGATCACAGCATATGACGTGTTTTTGTAATGTTTAATAACCAGTGTGAGTCTCCTCCTTCGACTTTAGTTTTGGAAACACAATTATATTATAGTTTCTGAATGAGCCAAAACACTTTATTAGGAAACATTTAAGACTTAAGTCTCCTTTAGTTAATTCAGTGGTTCACAAACTTTTTCAGCCGGACCCTTCTTTGGCTTTCACACCCAACACCCTACACACACTGCCAGTCACTCTCATGGCTAACAAATTCCTATATTTTTAGAATTTATCTCAAACTGTGTCTACAATCAATACAGAACAACAACGTCAGTGTGGGGCAACAAAAACCAAACGAGCCACTTTTGAAAAGGAAACAATTAAAAGTGATAATGTATTTGTGACATCTTGTTTGGATTCATTTTCAGCCGTATGTTTACCCGGACGTCCTCTCACCATTTTTGCCGAGCTTTGCTAGCAGTGAAAATGGTATGCATTATTTTTGTCAAACCTTGCTGGGACCCTTCTATGTGTCCCCCATCCCCTTTGGGAATCACCGAGTTTAATTGAACAAAGGTTTGGAATCATAACGACTGTTCATACTTTTAACTTAATCTAAAGGAAATATAAAGTGTCAGAATGATCAGTGCAGAATGCGTTTGACTACATGGAATGATACTTCAGAGGAGCGGTATATCTAACATTTCAACTCATCTCCAAGAGAAAACAGAAACCTGGTGGTGTAAAAAAACAACTATTTCTGCTAATTAAAGTGTAAAGTATAGGCTTTTCAGCAAATATTATATATTCATAGCTTTGACTAAATGAAGTATTTTTCAAACAGATAAATGTTTGGTACTATTTCAAATGTTCTCAGTGATTATCAATATATTGAAAGCTGACATTATTTTGCTGCTAAAACTATTGTTTGTATGAAACAGAAGAAAAATCGAACAAATGCTGTTGTTTTTTTTAAAAAAGGAAATCTGCTTAAACAAGAAAACAAATTAAAAAAACAGAACTTTTCATACTTCAGTCTACACACATTTTGGTTCTTAAAAGGTTCTGTTGTGCTATACCTTCAATTAAATTCTTTATACCAACAGATTTTTCTTTTTAAGTTGGGCTGCAGTACAAACTAGACTAAAGAAGAGGACCAGGGAGTCAGTTTCAGGAACGTTTTTGGTATGTTTTTTTTAATAAATTAACGTTCATTCAAAATACAGTGCCAAAGGAATATGATGCAGCCAAACATGCTAGTAAGGTTTGTCATGAAGCACCTGTGCTCATGTTTTTAAGGTAGGAGGAAGACCCCATACCCACCCTCTCCCCTCCCCACCCGCTCCCCTCCCCTCCCCCGATCCACTACTGCTGGCGGTTGCCGGTACGATTTCCTTGACAACAGCCTTGGGCCAGCCCTCTCCTCCTGCAACCAATCAGCAGCAAGATTCCTCAATGTTCACTCGAGAAAAATCAAATCTGATAGGAAAATGGAAATCTACCAACAATCACACTACAGTAATGTCTGATATTAAATTAAAAAAAGACACTAATACAAAATAGACCTGGTTATTTTCCCCACACTAACACAGTTATGAAAAATATATATTTTTATATATATATATATTTCAGCAGCTTGGAAATAAAAAAATGCATGAGCCTGATAACCTTGTGTTTGTACTCAGAGTGGAGCTGTGTGTGTTTGGTGGATAATAAAGGAGTCGTGATCATGAGACGTTGGAGTGAGGTGTAGACTGCCGGCTGTGTGGAAGACCTGTGTGCAAACAGACTGACAGACGAGCTGTGGAGGCTGTGGAGGAGTCATGGTGGAGGGCCCAGGGGTGAGGGAGGAGAGGTGATGGGTGACCGGACCTGCAGTCACCTTTTTTTTTTTTTTTTTTAAACCCTCCCCCCCTCGTCTCTCGTTTCCCCATCAGCCCTCAAACCACTCCTGAAAAAAACCACAGCCCACTCCACTCATCTGCAGGGTCTTTTAGAGAAAAAAGATGGATCCAGTTTTTTGTTTTTTTAAGAGGAACAATATGCTAAAAGTATATCTTTAGAGTATCAAACACACCTGTGAGCACTAAAAAGTTGGATGTTTGCGCATTAAGAGATTTTAGTCCGTAAACCACAGCAACAAAACCGGTCTGAACACGGTATAAAATGGATAATAAAGTTAAAGATGTGTGGTCGTTGGGGTTGCTTGCTGTCTAACAGTCAAAGACTAAAATGATATCAGATCAGCGTTTATATGGAGAAAATCATGTTTGAAGTTCATAGTGCCCCCTTTTTTTTTTTAACAATTTAAATGCTACTATTCTATCTTTACAGTTCGTAAAACACACGCTAAAAGATGTGTTGATTCATCAAAACCTCTCAAACCCCTGCAGCATTAATTGATTTTGAATGTAAATGACGTGAGTAAAAGGTGTTGTAAAGATATAGTTCAAACAACGCTCCACACTTGATAGTAGTGCAAAAGCTCCTCCAAAAAGTCTCTAATTTAGTGAGGTTTTAAAATGCAGCAGATGTTCAAGAGGTTTCTCCAGATTGTTTTGACACTGGACTGACAGATAGATGATTCAAGCTGATCTAAGGATGTCAGCTTCTGCTGATGACGGTGTGTAACCCTACACAAACACATTACTGAAGCTCTACCAAAGAAGTCATTTATTTAGTGATATTCAAAGAATGGACTTTTAAAGGTTTCTCCAGATTATTCTTATGCTTTGCTTATATTATTTCTATTCTATGACATGATTTGGATCCACTTTTACTGCTGTGACTCGAAGCTGAGCGACTATTCTGCTGTCCCTACAAAAAGAGCAAGCTGAACTTTTCCAGAGCCTCCTGTCAGTACTTTTGATACTCTGACGATATATTTTTAACAGCATTTTCCTTCATCAGTGGTGAGAAGAGAAAGAAAAGAGGAGAAGGTGGGAGTGGGAAGAGAGGGAAGCCATGATGGGAGGGAGAGGAGGGGGATTTTGGTACAGTTGCTATTGTCATTCCTAGAAGGTTTCCCAGTTAAGTGCATCATCACCCTCATCATTATCATCATCACAAGTCTGTTGACGTTTAGATTATCACATTGTAGAAACAGTATGACAGACTTGTAATAATATCTAACAGATGTCACAATTGACAAAATAAGAAAAAAAAAGAACCAAAAACAGAATTTTTTTAGATTACTAGTATTTTTGAGGCGCATCTTTTTCTCTCCAAGCTTGTTTTTTTGCTGCATTGTTCATCAGCTGCAGCGAATGCCAGAGACCCTCCATAACACAGAACACATCAGACCCTTTAGAGATGTGAGCTGCCCCCCCTTCGTGTTCATCCCTCAGCGTTGGCTTCAGTCTGTGAGGTAGGGGAGGGGGGGTAAGAGCTATACATGAGGGAGGGTCACCAGCTCCCCGTTCACCTCAAACTCCTCTGCTCCGTCTGGCGAGAAGAGGTAGGTCGGCGGTTTCCACGGGGATTCTTCTAGGCAGGATGGGTACAGCTTCCCGACCGCACAGCGAAAGTCTTTACCCAGATCCCAGAGCACGCGCTCCGACACCGGCTGCCGCAGGTACCAGCGATCCAGCTCCAAGTCGTACTGGTAGATGGCGTACTTTGCACGCTCGTTCATGTGGGTTTCACGCATGAAAATACAGAGCGAGTTCAGCAGGACCACCGCCCGTACACATGGGTCCGAGTAACGTTTAGCGGGGATGTTGGCGGCAAGGCGCCACTCGTTCTTGTTCACATCATAAATCTCCACAGTGACAGATGATCCGTCGATGGTGCTGGTAGGGAGGCGGATGCCAGAGTTGCTGACCACGTGGAGGCCACCGATGTAGAAGATGAGGTCACCGAAGGCGGCAGCAGAGGCAAAGCAGCGGCTGGTCTTACGCATGGCCATCTCCACCCAGGTGTCAGCGCGGGGGAAGTAGCAGTACATCAGGTCGTGGGTCATCACGTAGATGCAGTCGTGCGCCACTACTGATGTGCTCCAGTTCCAGGCGAAGGGCAGTGGGCTCATCATGCTCCACTCGTCCTTCTCGCAGTCGTAACGCTCTACTGTTCGCTTGTTCAGCTCTCCTCCGACGTTATCGCCCCCGATTGCATAGATGTAGCCCTCGCAGTAGACCAGCGAGGGCTTGATTCGGGCACACAGCATGGGGGTTTTGGGCACCCAGGCATTCTGCTGGGCATCGAACCAGAAGAAGCTATCGACTGAGCGGAACACGGCCTGTAACTTTCCACTCTTACCGTGGTTAGTGATAGAGTTTTTTAGGGGGATCTGACCTCCAGCGATAAAGACATCGTTGTCAGGTGTAACGAGGGTCCCCACCTTCTGCAGGTCTCCAGGGGGGTTGCTGAGCTTGTACACTTTCTCTGCCTGTGGGCTGTAACAGACTACAGTAGTGGGCAGTAAGCCAGCCATGACATATCCATCGCCCTGTGTTTCCGACATGGC